TTTGTAGGTTGCAAGTACATCTTCCAAACACTGTAATAGGCAAGGTAATAATACAAAATGTTATAGTGAAAAGATTTTTTTTTAAACATGTCTGAAATTGGTTCTGTGGATAAAACAAAAAAACATGAGTGAAGTTATTATCAGGCCCCCTCACCACAAAAACAAAATATCAAAACCAAATTCAACATTTTTAATCAGCTTTTTTCATAAATGAGATAGTTAAGAGTGCAAAAACTATGAAAGCAGTAGCTTACTGCAAATAGATCTTTTTGCTCTTTAATTTCCAATCTGATCAACAGGAATTAGCATCATTAATCTCTGCCATTGATATTTTGGTATAATGTTCATCAGAAAGCTACATTTATTGTTGTATCCCCCTGCCTCCCCCCCCCCCAGAATAAAAGAACTAGAAAATCTTTAGTCATCCAGTTTTGGGAAAGATCATTTATCTGTATGCAGATCTTGATGGAAACCGATACCACATTGAGTCTTCAGCTTGTTTATTCGTACAACCCAATATAAAACACATCGCACATCTCCCAGTAAAAATGATTTGTTAGGATGTAAATTCTTTGGGCTCTTGCATTCGTTATTTGTTGCTTGTGGTCTTGGGATAACAATACACGATGCAGCCTTTAAAACAGGGGTCTTCAAACTTGGCCCTTTTATGACTTGTGGACTTCAACTCCCAGAATTCCTCAACCAGCTTCTGGCTGAGGAATTCTGGGAGTTGAAGTCCACAAGTCATAAAAGGGCCAAGTTTGAAGACCCCTGCTTTAAACTATGCATAAAAAGCAGCACTGGCTTCCTTGAGGGTAAGCGAAGGCACTTGCTCTCAAGCAGGGGTAGGCATAGCATAGCATAGCATAACTGACTCAGGAATTCTGGGAGTTGAAGTCCATGAGTCATAAAAGAGCCGAGGTTGCCTACCCCTGCTCTCAAGAAAGCCAAAGCTGTTCGTCATGCAACCAGTTGTAAATCAAAACTATTGTGGCATCACGGCCAGTTCAATCATGGAGTGCGGTATTTATTTTTGAAAGGGAGGCAAAATGATGGTGGTGGACACCTATGAGCACTTGCCAAATTTTCCATCTCCGTTTCTAAAATTGAAGCAGGAAATGAAGGTGGTCTGCTGCAAAACAATCGCCCCAGCCATCGTTTTTATGATCAGAATGGTGCTGGATCCCAAATAAACTGCACAAATTTTTTTTTAAGAAAATACAAATTCTGGGTGGCAACGTAACAACTTGCAGTTTACCTGGTAAGCCTCCAGTTAAACTACCCAAAGTATTGAGTATTGCAATATTTTTGTTAAGTATGTAGAAGAGAAATGGCCAATCAGCAGCTCTAAAACTAAACATTCATACTGAGTTGCTAAATCACATGTGTATAAGAAAACAGATGGCATATTTTGAAATTAGAAGCATACAGATATAGTGTAACCTTTAAACAGGCTAAACATACTCAAAAAGATAAACATTCACAATTTTTTTAAAAAAAAATCCAAGAAAATTCTATCTGATTATTTTCTTGGTGCCATCGCTTTGTCAGTTCAAATGTGAGCTGTGATCCCAGGCCATCTCGTTTTCCCAACAAAGGCAATTCCATTTTATCATGTAGATCAGAGTTCCCCGACGTTTCCGTTGAACAGGAGATGGAGAGGGGATGGTTCTGTGTGAGTGGCCGGCAAGCACGCACACCTGCCACCCCTGCAAATGGAGCCCATGCACATGCGCTCACCCACTGCTTGTGCAAGTAAGGATGCACGTGTACATGCGCACTCACTGGCAATTTCTGTGGCCCAGTTGCAATCCTCTCATGGCCCACTAGTGGGCCACAGGTTGGGGACCCCTGATTTAGATAAATATTTATTTGCGTCCACCAGTGGCTTAAACAGTTTTAAATAAAGATTAACCCTACAACAAGGATTTGATAGGCTCTTTATGAGTGTTAAGACTATCTCGGAAGAGCCCACGAGAATTTACTTAGGTTCTTGCCCCAAGAGCTAGGCAAGACTCATCTCACAAGAGGGGTCACAACTGACTCCTGTGTCTTCTGCATTCTGTGTCTTTAAAATGATGCCTCTAAATCAGAGCCTAACAATTTGCTTGAGAGGGAGCTGCTTTTTCTTCTTGAATAGCTTTATGCCTTGATGGTTTGGTTGGGCTGGAACAGGGGTAGGCAACCTTGGCTCTTTTATGACTCGTGGACTTCAACTCCCAGAATTCCCGAGCCAGCATGGCTCAGCTTGGAAACCTCTCCCTTTCCCCTCAGCATGGCTGGCTCAGGAATTCTGGGATCTGAAGTCCACGAGTCATAAAAGAGCCAAGGTTGCCTACCCCTGGGCTGAAGGAAGCCTAGGATCTTCAACCCCCATGCCAGAGCGAGATTGGGCCAATCCCTGATACAGCTGTGACACAGCTGACCTCTGCTCCCTTTGCTGCTACATACTGGTAATCATTGACTTACGACCATTTGTTTACTGACTGTTTGAAGTTACAACACTGTAAAAAGTGACTTATGACGGTTTTCACACTTACAACTGTTGCAGCATCCCCGTAGTCACATGATCAAAATTCAGACACTTGGCAACTGGCACATACTGTATTGGTTACAGTGTCCTGGGATCATGTGATCCCCTTTTGCAACCTTCTGAAAGCAAAGTCAATGGGGAAGCCAGATTCACTTAACAACCGTTTACTAATTTAGCATCAGCAGTGACTCATATCACACCTGTGGAACAAAAGTTCATAAAATGGGGCAAAACTCAAGTTAACAAACTGTCTCGCTGAGCAACAGAAATTTTGGGCTGAATTGTGATTTTAAGAAGGATTATCTGATTCAATGCTTTAACCACTGGACAATGTCACTTTGGTCCAACTGCTGATAATCTTTGAAACAGCCCGCCTCCTATGGTTATGATCCTCGCATTTCCAATTATGATTACAATTTGGCTGGAAAATCATTGTAAATCTGAGGCAAAACAGAGATTCTTAAACCCTGAGCATTATCGGCCATCTTGTGTGTTTCAGCTGAGGGCTGTCGTATCAGTGAATCAATAAAACAGCACAGCTGAAATCAAACAGTCTTATTTCATATAAACAGAGGGACAAATTGGATTCAACTGATTCTTTTAATAGGGAACCAATTTTTCACCCTGCAGAGTAAATCCGCCCCCCAATTTCTCATTATTAACTATTAGTGGCTTCTGTTTCTGTCAGCTATATTATGCACGGTGTGTTTGCCCTGCCTGTCCTTATCACTAATAGGCTTAAATGATTTTGCTGCACAAACACAAAAAGCACTACGGACTACGTTTAAACCCCCCCCCCAAATACAAAATCTTAGCATGATAGTATGAAAACATTTTATTAGCCATTTTCTACATAATTGAAATAAAAGGGCAGAATGTATCATGACTTTTTGCAATAGGAAAAAAAACTACCTTCACAATTCACTTCTGCTTCCATAGGAACAATATTCTTAATATTTTATATTGCATTTCATTATAAAAATAGAATTTATAAAGTTTTCCATCATGAGCAATATCAGATATAAAAGCTAATCGTTTATGCTTAGAAGGGCACACAGTGACATCTAGAATAATTCCATCAAGTATGCTTTAACCTCCAAGTTATAAAAATGGAATGAAGACAGTCTAAACCATTTTATTAGAGAGCACTGAAAATATATAGTTATTTAAGCTAAATAGGCTGAACTTCAGAAGCCTGGAATGTTTTCTTGTTTCCTTTTAAATCTACTGTAAATTTTTAAATCACGACCTGTAACTGCCACATGAGTTTTGGCCAGAGGTAAATATGATCTTTTCGGCTTTGGCCCAGTCGCTTCACTCTTTCTGGTCAGTCCTAGAGGAGATCAACCCTGACTGCTCTTTAGAAGGCCAGATCCCGAAGTTGAAACTCAAGTACTTTGGCCACCTAATGAGAAGGAAGGACTCACTGGAGAAGAGCCTAAGGCTGGGAAAGATGGAGGGCAATAGAAGAAGGGGACGACAGAGAATGAGGTGGCTGGACGGAGTCACTGAAGCAGTAGGCGTGAGCTTAAATGGACTCCAGAAGATGGTAGAGGACAGGAAGGCCTGGAGGAACGTTGTCCATGGGGTCGCGATGGGTCGGACACGACTTCGCAACTAACAAAAATATGATCTGAAAGAAGTTTGTCTGAGTCTCCAAAACAGCTGACTATGGCCTGGAGATAACAGATTGTCAAAAATCCATTTTAACTTCTGCATTTTTTCTTACAAATGAAAAACAATGACAAGAAACTGAGTTGCGAAGTTTTACATTCAAGGAACTACAAATCAAAGAAAAAGGCCTCAGGTGCTCGTACTGTGCAGGAACCATTATAGTATTTGATTGTGATCAGTTCTGTAGCATCCATTTCTTACACTTCTGTTTCTGAAGGTTCACAGACAAATAATTTTGGGGAGCAGTGATGATTTTCTTTCATGCTAGAGGATTTCAGAACAGAGTTTTTCTTATCTGGCAGATTTTTAGATCCAATGCCTGTTTTGTTTTTGGGTGTATAAAAATGAAACCTGCTAAACATAAATCCTACAATCTGACTACTTACCTGTTTCTTACAGCAAGTAGAAGATACAATCTCTTTAATTTGTATTTCATATTACATACTGTGTATGTTACAGCAATTGTTAAAACACTAACGAGTCACCCGTTCTTTGGTGTTTATAAATATGGTAGACCAAAATCATTAATATAAAAATATTGGCAACAAGATTCTGTAAAAATGAAGAGACAAAGCAAAATGGCATATTCCAGGTCTGAATAATCTTCCAGTTTAAAGATACTATAAGCATCAATGTAATATTAATTCCAATATGCTGAGCCCAGAATATCACACAATTAACAGTCAATTTTCTGACTGCTTATTTAGAATTGTAATCAAATCCACAATAATTTATACTTTTAAAGAATAATTATCCCATCTGTTTACTAAATGAAATCACAAGTAATTATGAATGTTTTAAAACATTCAGTATACAGCATTTGAAAAATCGGTTTAGGCCCTTAAATTTCCTTATTAATTTTTTATCTCTCCCGCTCCACATCTTCACAAGTCATGTTTACATGAGACATTGATCATTCTGGAAATAGGACACTAGGTTTGAATGTCCCAACGTGATAATCTTGATGGCAGCATACTTCAACAACTGAAATTTTCAACCAAGATATTTTTTTGCAATACTAAAACTTTTCTTCTAATTGATTTACCTGTTAACAGATGAAAAAATCAATTAGGATAGTTGTTATATAATAAGAATTAACAAAATACCAACTTAATAGGCTACAGAATTTTTTTTAAAAAAAACAATTCCTCCTTACAAGTTCACATTCAGACGCAAATTACAAAAAAGAACATTAATGGGTATGGGATAGGGAAGGAAAAATATAATTCTTCAAGCTACATGTGGTAATTTTGACATTATTATTTGAACTTCAAAATTGGGCAGTCCTAATATCTAGAATCCAAAAATTCTTAATAGTCTCACAGAAGGCACAATGCAACAATTCAGATCTAAAATTACTAACTATTAGCACCAAGACTATAAGACTATTCATAAGTAACAATTATTAATAATTAATTATTAATAATTATTCGTAACAATTAATAATTATTAATAAAATATCAATTTTTCACTGGGTTTACATTAAATATCGGTAGCTCTCCAGTGCCATAAGTTAATACCATTCTTTTAAAACTAATGAACTTGCTGAAATTTATAATTCAGTTCAACAGACTAAATTAAGACACTTAACATTTGCAAAAGATTTTATTAATCATTTTTCTATTGTAAGAATCTTCCAAATAACTAGAAGAGTGAATGGAAATTGGGAAACCCTGATCTGTTCATGGAGTCGGATGCTGAACCATCTGTTGTAGTTAAAGAAAAATAAGCAAGGTGAAAATGCAGAGAAGCCAGTCTTCTGATTGGCATTTCCTTTCCTATACATTTTTTTTTAAAAAAAAAGATGTGTTCATTTTGACAATTTAATATTGTCAAAAATATTATATGTATAGATCTAACACCTAAAAAGAAATATTATTTCAAATAAATGAGACAGATTTCCAGTAGCACAAAAGACACAGATAAATAATTGTGTTTACTCTGCCTTTTTGTTTTTAAGTATTTGATAGACAGGCATCTGCAAATCTTCAATAGTTTCTGCAATTGGTTTGTTCAGAGTTTCTGGAAGTAGAAGAATCAAAAAACCAGCTGATAATCCACTGATTCCAAAGACTCCAAATGGTACAGATGGACCAAGAGATTTCTAGAAGGAATCAATTAAATTATTTGTTATGAAACAATATACTGTAAATAGGTAGATAAGTTACTTAAAAAGCCTTCTTTGAATTGCAGCGATATATAAATAGGATGAATGAATAATATAACCCCATTTTCTAATGCATGTTTAGCACACATATTAGATAGAAAGTGTTTTGTGAAGTACAGAAAACAGTCCTAAAAAAAGAGTCAAAGGGATAATAAAAAAACAATTCAGTCTAGTTTAATGAAGAGAAGGACGAGGGGGGACATGATAGCAGTCTTCCATCTATCTCAGGGGCTGCCACACAGAAGAGGGAGTCAACCTCATCTCCAAAGCACCTGAAGGCAGGACAAGAAGCAAGGGCTTATTTTCTGGGTGGGTCTTATTTTCGGGGAAACACAGTTTTGTAAGAGAAGAGAAGGAAGAACTTAGGCAGGGATCTTCAAACTTGGCCCTTTTATGACTTCAACTCCCAGAATTCCTCAGCCAGGCATGCTGGCTGAGGAATTCTGCAAGTTGAAGTCCACAAGTCATAAAAGGGCCAAGTTTGAAGACCCCTGAACTTAGGGGTGAAATTAAGCACGTCATCAGCTTAGAGTTGTTATGTTCTCACAAACAGTCCATGTCTAACTCTTCCTGGATTCTGTTGACCCTTGTCTGGTGCCAATTTAGTCCTGGATTCTCTGACATATTTTTACCTGCTGTGGCACATCAACTCTACTGTCAGGCCTCACTGGCTACCCCTCTGTCCATAGTACATCCACACTGACTTTCAACTTCCCATAAACATAAGAAGACTATGCATTTTATATATTCATCTAAATCTCAACCAGACTTATTCAAATGTTACTTTGGTATATTTACCAAAGAAATGCTGGGCAAAAAGTGTATTAGTCACGTATGATATCACAATGACAGATATTGGTAAAAAAAATACAAGCCCACAAGTTCTGCTTAACTATCACATGTTAGAATTATTGCATATGAACTATCAACGCTCATTAATTGATTTGAAAGTTTGCTAAAATAGGATACATTGCAGGCTGCATTACTTACCAAGGAAGGAACAAATGGAGCCAAAATTCCTCCAAACCTACAAATCATTGAGCACACACCCAATCCAGCATTTCTGTTTTATAAAAGAAATACCACTGTCAGTATTTATCCTAAGAAAAAAAGCAAGTCTGATATACTGATTCGTGCTAAATAAGGCATTGCAAATGAACTGCAGTTGTTCCTAGTTCTTATTGAATTTAGCTTTTAAACGGGATCAATCTCATTTCCTGATCTGATGTCGCCATCCTATTATTTCCACCACAACTGAATAGGATTCAGTTTTACCAGCTGGAAAATATTGTCTACATTGCATATATTTCCAATAGAAATCATGAAACTTGAACTCTTCCTCTACGGATTCTATAGAGATGCCTGAGACAGTCTAGCTCAGCGGTGTCAAACTCAATTTTATTGAGGGCCGCATCAGCATTGCGGTTGCCCTCGGGGGGCCAGGTGGCTGCGGCCTACTGGGTGGGTGTGGACGGAGTAGGTATGGCCTACTGGGTGGGCGTGGCCAACTCTACATCATTCGCATCAAGGGTGCCGGTGGGGGCCTGGGCAGGAGTGGGACAGATCTGAGGGTCTCTGGCAGAAAGGGGTGGGACCAGGGCAGAGCCCATCAAGCCAGATATGTGAAGTAGGTGAGGGCCATTTGCTGGCCACTTCCAGGCGATGGTGCATTTCTTCATTCCTCACAATGGATGACACCTCCCCAGCATGCACCCAGGGGGTGGGGCCGATGTGGCAGGGGCTGGTTCCTCGCTGTTTCCAGACGGCCTTGTGGAGCTAAGACTGAATGCATTTCAGCATAGATGGCCACCACAAAATTGTACATTGGCTCCCGGCTGGCCTGGGCCAGGGCCAAGGCAGCAGAGGCTCTGATTTTCTAGATCACATTTTGTATATGCAGCGGCGGATTACCCTCTAGTCCAGGGGCCTTCAAACTTGGCCCTTTTATGACTTGTGGACTTCAACTCCCAGAATTCCTCAACCAGGCACGCGTGCCTGGCTGAGGAATTCTGGGAGTTGAAGTCCACAAGTCATAAAAGGGCCATGTTTGAAGACCCCTGTCCTATGCAATCAAAAAAATATGTTCAAAACACTAATTTCAAAATGACCTGCAATATTACCTCAAACAAAATTTTATTAAATAAATAGCAGAAACCATATTAAGGGGTACCCTTAAAAGGCCCCCTCATGATCACAAACAGCGAAAGGTTTCTTGTAATCATCCAGTTAGGCCTAGCGGTGAAGGAACCAGGCCAGAAAGCAGGAGATTGTGAGTTTTAATCCTGCCTTAGCTGTGAAAGGCAGCTGTGTGGCCTTGGGCCAGTCACTCTCTTTCTCAGCCTAACCCACCTCACAGGGTGACTGTTGTGGGGAAAATAGGAGGAGGAGGAAGGTGTTTTGGGTATCCTTGCTGCCTTGAGTTATTTGTAAAATACTAAAGGCAGGGTACAAATACATAAATAAAAGAAGAGAGTGTAAAGCTGGACAGCTTTATGGAAAGAAATCTGAAAGCAATTTTAGAGAGCGCATGTGGAATGAAAATATCCTTCCAACCATATATTTTGTCCTTTCTTTAAATCTTAAGAGTGGCTTCTTCTCTCATTTCTCCCCCAACATTTTAGCATTAACAGGGAAATAACTACATGTCTTAATTTTCCATCATTCATGAGAGAAGGGGAAGCTTGATCAAACCCCTCCCCTCCCCTGCCCCCTCCACCCCTACCCTGCCCGCTCCACACTCTGCCCGCCCGCAGGGCCACCACTGCCTCCATGGCCCGCCGCAGATCGCCCAGGCAGCCCAGCAGCGCCATGGCGGCCACGCCCTCTGCCCACGCCCTGCAGCAGCATCTGCACGTGACAGGGCGCGAGGACGGAGCCTTGTCCCCGCTGCCCAGCTGCCATGTCCTTGGCTGCGCTGCTCTGCGCAGGCCGCGCTTGGGGGCGACTCTCCTCCGGGGGGGCTGCTGATGGGGACGCGGGGGGACACAGGGCTGGGGCGACGGCGTGCGTGCCCACAGAGAGGGCTCTGAGTGCCAGAGGTTCGCCACCACTGTTATAGGAGATACTTTTTACAGATAGCTCTGATTATCTAATTCAGGAGTATGGAGGTTTGCATGCAATATGTAACCGCTGATGTGATTTCAAATGGCTTATATACATTATATATTGCGAGAATTTAATGATTTGGAAATAAATATAAAAATAACAATGTTAACGTCTGCTTACCTGACTACTGTGGGATACAGCTCTGAAGTATAGATGTATACAATGTTGAAGGCAGCACTTACGGTCAATTTCCCATACAAAGCCAAAATTCTGGGACTGAAGAAAAATCCTTAAATGGAACACAGGGCAATTAAACAAACATTTCCATCTTCAAATAAAGAACAATAGAATAAATAGGCAGCTGTATTCAGAAAAAAACCCCTCTGAGGTTCAGGCAGATGTATACCTACTGTGCAGAGCAACCTGCAATTGACACAAAGAGAAAACTGCAATTTTAAATTGCACCATTGTTGGTGGGCATAAGTGTACTTGGCTGGGGGCATGTCCTCTGGATAAAGTCTCCAATGCTATAGATTGAAGCTTCAGAGAACTGCAATTCTGGCTACCTTATTTCAAGGAGCTCTCAATTATTACCAATAAAAGGTAATATACTGATCTTACTGCACTGCAAGATCACTAAAACAGGAAGTTGTGAAAAGCCATTTTTATGAGTTAGCCATTTGAATCCACTGCTCAAACTTTGCCAGGCCATCACCATTGAAATCAAGATAATACTTATCTATACCTGAATTTCCCTTATACGCTTTGTCCGCAGAAAGTAATTATTTACAAATCTACATCGCACGCTGAAAAATGTTTGCTTGGAGTTACTTGCCAATGAGGATGGACCATCTTGTTATAGCCCTATGGAGGTACTTCTTAGTATATGAGTGATGGAAACGGGGAGAGCTCGCTCCTGGTCTCCTGAACACACTGATTCTTTTTAAGATGTCTTGAACAGGAAATCTGTAAAGATTTTTACTAGCATTCAAGCCACTGCACAGAGACTTCTATGGAGAGCTAGATCAGGCAGAAGAAGACTACCAAAATAGCCAAGTCACTCAAGGAACCTCCTTACGAGAAAAGCCTAGAAATTTGAGACTCTTTAGCTTGGAAAAAATGACACCTGAAGAGGGAACGGGGCTAAAGCATAAATCATACTTGGCATGGAGATGCTTTTTCCTATCAAAACAATATAACCAAAGTTCATCGAATGAATATAACTGGAAAGAAATTCAGAATAAAAAAGTAATTTTTCACACAGCCCACCATTAATCTGTGTAATTCATTATAAACTGTAGTGATGCCCAATCATTCAGATGGCTTTAAAAGGCAATGAAAAAAATGTATGGAGAAGACATCCATCAAACATGATTAGCCTTGAGATCTCCAATGGGAACATGATGTTTCCTGTAACAAGGAATGGGCATTCTTGCCATTGGTAGAAATAAATTGATAGACGATGTCATCAAGCTATGTTTAAGCTGGAGGGTCTTTTGAAGATGTACTGTATATATCAGGTGCACAATAGGAAGGCCCTGGGTATAAATCACTGCTTACCACTGTAACTTAAGAGCTAATGTTTAGAGAGTTTTCCTACACTGTGAACTATTCCAAGCGTTCAGCAACAGACTCCATTCATGACAAGCTACAATGGTCAGTATATTGTGATGGCTTGATTATTTCAAGTAACGGTACAGAGAGAAGCTCATGGCAAATATAGTAATTTTCCCTGAGATTCTTACTAATTATCTGCTACCTTGGAAAAGAAGAAAGCAAATGAGCTGCAGGATACTTCAAAGATTGCCAATGATTAAAGAAAAAAAACCTATTCATGACTTAGCAGTATACAATACTAATAAAAAAATACTATTATTTCACATTGATTCTACGTGGCAGCCTCTCAAAGTATCATTAACAACACCCATCCCAATTAAATTAAAACTGGGCATGCAATAAAGTCTTCATTTAGTAATAATCTTATTCATCTGGGGAAAAAAACTATTCTAGATTTGGTTTTTACTTTTATTTTTAAAATTATTTAAACGTGGTTTGATATTAGCAGACTAGGAGCACTTGTTTTTCTTTTTTTATATATAAATATTTTATTGAGTTTTATAAAGGTAACAAAGGGATAGGGTCAAAAAGGATAAGACAAAGGGAAACATACAAAAAGGTTAGACCAGGGAAAAGGGGTAACACAAAAGTGGGATTAATCCCACAAAATAACATCGCTTCAGCAAGTCTACCAGTCCGGGTTTACATATTAAATCTTAATAATTACTCTATTATTAAACAACTTTCAATATAATCATGTAAATAACGAATTAGTCAATAAATCTCATTCATTTCACTACTTAACAATGCTTAGTATTAATTAAACATATTAATTATAGTTTACCATATTGTTTAAGATCACAAATATACAAAGAGGAAGAAGAAGAAGAAGAAGAAATAAGAACAAGTTCATACAAATAATCATGGAATGTAAATACAAATTATCAATTATCTCTTTAAATTTAATAACCTTTTCTCATTCTAGCATGTTTCTAACCAATAATAAAATTTTCCCCATGTTTCTTTCTCTTTCATTTCTAAAGTTAATCTATCCATTTCTGCACATTCGAGTATTTTTGTTATTATAGTCTGGTCAGATGGTAAATTTTCATTTTTCCAAAATTGGGCAAATATTATTCTTGCGGCTGTCAACACATGCAATATTAAGTACTCATTCTCTTTTCCATAGTTCAAGCCTAATATTCCTAACAAACAGAGTTCTAGTTTAAATTCTATCTGTATTTTAATCATCTTTTCTAGCCACATGTGGATCTTAAACCAAAACTTTTTAGCATTAGGACATATCCACCAGAGATGGTAATAAGTGCCTGGTTGTTGTTTACATTTCCAACACATATTTGATACATTTTTAAACATTTTCTCTAATCTAACTGGTGTCATGTGCCATCTATAAAACATTTTATATAAATTTTCCTTATATGCAGCTGCTTTAGTAAATTTGATATTTCGGTTCCATAGTTTTTGCCAATCTTCTAAATCTATAGAATAACCAAAATTCTTTGCCCACACTATCATTGTTTCTTTCACTTGTTCTTCTTCCATCTTCCAATTTAGCAGGAATTTATAAAGTTTCTTAATCAGATTTTTATCTGTTTTCAAAAGTATCTTATCTAGTAGGGTCTGTTCTTTGTAGAATCCCATTACTTTTACATCTTTTTCTAGGAGCACTTGTTTTTCAATAAGATTATCTGTGCCAAGAAAAATTTGGTTTGCTTCAGAAAGAACATACTTACTCCTGTTATTTTCTGGTAAACACGTGGTAAAAACACAGGCAAGGCCTGCAAATATCAAAAAAGCAGCTGTACTTTTACGTCTTCCCGACCTAGTGCAGAAATATAGTACAAGCTCATACTGGATTTCCACAAAGATACGTTTTAAAATATTTTCATTTATTATTCCATACAAGTCTTTTTTAAAAAAAACCTAAACTGCAGAATGATGGGCATTCACCGACAGAACAATGTAGGCAAATTAGATATTAATGTGTTTCCACATTTCAAGAGATGAGTAATTCATGGAGAAATAATAATTGGTGATCTAAATTTTACTCTGAGATACTTAGCCCATTGCACAAAGTTCATTTCCTGTACTTCTGAAGCCAACAGCTTATAAACCCAATCCAGGCTGCTGGCTCTTCCCTTCAAAGATCTTTTTGGTGCAGGTGTACAAGTCACCAAACAACACATGACAGAATAAACCCCTTGTCTGGTCCAGCCACCTAAGGAAAGTCCATCCCAAGCAAAGGACACCGTTGATTGATCTTTTCAATGGAACCCTCTCTGCCTGCGGGCATTTTGAACAATAACCAAAGTAACCCAGTTTCAGTGGACATTTGGCCCACAGTTTAGTTTAACTGAATAGTGCCTATTTCTATTGATAACTACCAATATTTAGTGCCTTATTCTTATTTTGAGTGGTTATACCCCATCTATATTCTACAGGTTATCCTTGACTTATGACCACAATCGAGACTGGAATGTCCATTCCTTAAGTGATGCAGTCATTAAATGAGTTGTGCCCAATTTTACAAACATCTATACTGCAGTCATTAAGTGAATCACCATGATGGTTAAGCAAATCACAGTCATTAAATAAATCTGGCTTCCCCCATGGACTGTGCTTGTTGGAAAACCCCAGAGAAGCTTATTAATGGTGGTCACATGATCCTGGGACATTGCAATTGTCATAAACACATGCTAGTTGCCAAGCAAATTTTGGTCACATTACGTTGAAAGTCTTAAATGCGAGGAACAGTTTTGTAAGTCACTTATTTTCAGTGCTGTCATAACTTTGAACTGTTGTTAAATGGTTTTAAATCAGAGACTAACAATACTGCAACTGGAACAAACAAAGTTTGTTTTTTTTAAAAAAATGTTTACCTTCAGAAACAGGAAAAAAAATTGAATCCAGGAAACTAATAGAACATGGGTCTTCACACTTGGCCCTTTTATGACTTGTGGACTTCAACATGTTTTTATAATGTGGAGACCAAAACTTGATGCAGTATTCTAGGTGTGGTCTTACTAAGGCTTTACAGAGTGGTATTAGTACCTCACGTGATCAACCATCTGTCCAGAATTATATAGGGCAGTGATGGCGAACCTTTTAGAGACCGGGTGCCCAAACTGCAACCCAAAACCCACTTATGTATCGTCGGGTGCCAAGTGGGCATGGTCAATTGTGTGGGCGTGGCCAATTGTGTGGGCATGGCCCACTGGCTGGGTGTGGCTGCAGTGGTAATGGCAGATTGGGTGGGACTAAAAAGTTCAATCAATCAATTCCAACTTTGCGAGATCTTTTTTTTTCCAGCGAGAAGTTAAAATTGATTGATTGATTGAACTTTTTTTTTTCTGCACACGGCGGTGGAGGCCTAAAGCGAAAAGGTTTTATAAAATCCAGCTGAAGGCCTAGAACTGGGGCGACGGCACGTGTGCCCACAGAGAGGGCTCTGCGTGCCACCTGTGGCACGCATGCCACAGGTTCGCCACCACAGATATAGGGTCTCCTGCTCAAGCAGGAGATCGCATTAGAAGACCTTCAAGGTCATTTCCAACCCTGTTCTTTTACGTTCTATTGTAAAATAAAAAGTGTGATGCGTTAAGTCATAAAAAAAATCTTCTTTCATAACAGCATTTCTGAGCAGATTTGATACATTTTATCTATGCTCAAAATGTATGTAAATTAATCAACATATAGAAATAAATTCAAGAGCTATGTTACTCTATACCAGGGGTTCCCAACCAGGGGTGCGAAACGATATTCCAGGGGGTGTGAAAACTTGGGTTTCCAAAATTATAATTGTATATGTATAATTCGTTGCCGTTATTTTGAACTTTTTAAGGGGTGCAAGAATATATCAGAAACGTTCTAGGGGCGCGGGGTATAGAAAAGGTTGGGAGCCGCTGCTCTATGCTGTACTATCTAAATATAGAAATACAAAGTTATTGAACTTACCAAGATTTCTCAATGAAAAACATGCAGAGTGGAAATGCTGGAACTTCTACAAGGCCAGAAAGAGCCACGTTTAAATAGAGATTTCCTCCTAATTCACCAGCGTTCAGTGTTAAACCGTAATATACAAAGCTGCACACGTACCTAAATGTATCAGAGATTGGCTATTTTAATCATGTACACAGAATAATATGTAAGCTTTAATTACTTGCATACTAAATGAAGAAAAATATACACTAGAAAAATACCAGTTTATGAAGCGGTGAAGTTATAAATCATGTACTAAGTGTGGCTTTTTTTTTTTTTTTATTCCATTCAATTGTGTCCAATTCTTGGAGACTGCCTGGACAAGTCCCTGCAGTTTTCTTGGCTAGATTTTTAATTGGGTTGCCATTGCCTCTTTCTATGAGGCAGAAAGTGACTAGCCCAGGGGTAGGCAACCTTGGCTCTTTTATGACTCGTGGACTTCAACTCCCAGAATTCCTGAGCCAGCCATGCTGAGGGAAAATGGAGAGGTTTCCAAGCTGAGCCATGCTGGCTCCGGAATTCTGGGAGTTGAAGTCCATGAGTCATAAAAGAGCCAAGGTTGCCTACCCCTGGCCTAGATGATAGGAAACTTGGCTCTTTTATGACTCGTGGACTTCAACTCCCAGAATTCCTGAGCCAGCCATGCTGAGGAGAAAGGGAGAGGTTTCCAAGCTGAGCCATGCTGGCTCAGGAATTCTGGGAGTTGAAGTCCACGAGTCATGAAGGAGCCAAGGTTGCCTACCCCTGGGCTATCCCAAGATCACCTAGCTGGTTTTGAGCCCAAGGCAGGACTAGAACTCAGACACCCCAGCTTCTAATCTGATGTCTTAACCATTACATCAAACTGGCTCTTTAAGAGTTCAAATGCCTTCACAAAATTGGAAAACATTTTTTCCAATAGAAGTTGAACTAGAAAACCAGTGGATCAAAATCAACAAATTTACCATACCTTCATGTATGCTTTTGCTATCCTAGTCTATTCTGGTTTTATGTCAAGGCAAAGGGTCTTGAATGAATGATTCAGATCACTAGGTATTTGATCCAAACCTGACTGTTTAAAAACAAGTGGAAAACTATTCCAACATTTTTATATTTCTCATGTCAAAAAACAAAACACAAAGGAAAAAAGAAAGGAGAAATACTATATTGTTTGAGGGGTTCGTCCCTCTTAAACTAAAATTCATTTATATCCAAAATCTTTCTATTTCTTTAACCATATTCAAACAGATGATCAAACAAGATTTTTTTTTTCTGACTGATTTCTTTAGGGGTTTTTAAAATTATGCCTATGTTTCTGACTCATGAGTTTAAACTTGTTTTTTCTGGTGATCCTTGAATTTTAATAAGAAGTCAGACTAACTCCTGAAAACCTGTCCCTTCCTTTCATAGTCTGCAGCATTATCGACATACGGTCCTCTTTCAACCATTTTATTCTGAGAAGAGAGCATTATGGAGCGGAAATGGCATTTCCTCCACTATCAAGAGAAAAGACCAGCAGAAAACCAATCATTGGGAGAATTTTGTTGAAGGAAGATGACATTTGAGGACAATTGGAGATAGAGTTCAGGATACATTGTGACAAAAGGAAACCACGTGAATAAGATTGTCCAGAAATATATAATAATAATAATAATAATAATAATAATAATAATAATAATAATAATAATAATAATAATAATAATAATAATAATAATAATAATAATAATAATAATAATAATAATAATAATGATGATGATGATGATGATGATAAAGTTGGAAGGGACCTTGGAGGTCATCTAGTCCAACCCCCTGCTCAGGCAGGAAACCCTATACCATTTCGGACAAATGGCTGTCCAGTTGCACAGTAAAATTCTCAGTTATACTCCTTTTGGGGAAGTATTTGCAGGCAGAATGCTACCGGCTGTATTGTTACTTTAGATTTATCAGGCACACAAAGCCACATAGTTCTTTAGGCACTATCTTGCTAGAGAAAGATCTGGGATACATATGCCTGATGAGTACAAAGTAATGATGCTGGTTACATACTGGTCAGTGTTAAGCAATATGTCATGCAGGATAATAAAGGTCTATAAGTCATATAAATCAAGGGTCCTCAACCTTGGCAACTTTAAGACTTGTGGACTTCAACTCCCAGAATTCCTCAGCAAAGCTGGCTGAGGAATTCTGGGAGTTGAAGTCCACCAGTCTTAAAGTTGCCAAGGTTGAGGACCCTTGATATAAATCTTTGTTAATGAAAGCATGACATATGGAACACTATATCCATGTGGCCTGAGAGTGTACAAAAAGCAAGGTGGACTATATATACCATTCTAAATATAAACTCTTTGTCGAGCAGTATCATTTGATGGTTTTATCCAATTAAAATATTTTTGTTTTTAAAAAGGAGCTCTTGATTTTTAAGTCTTATTCATACAAGCATGTAACCTTAGGATTGTATAAACAGCACAAATTCAAATGAAAGCCAATACAAAATTTACTTACTCTTCTTGCTCAGGGCAGTTATCTCTTTAAGATTTGTCTCATGTCCATGAAATTACTGAAATTTGAAAAATGGAACAAAAAACCCCAAATTCTCTACCTATTCTCTGAAGTGATTCCCAATAGCTATTATTCTGATTACCTTGAAGTTTATTTATCTATGTCAAGCATGTCAAACTCGCGACGTCACCTGATGTCGCGCGACGTATCGGAGCTTTTTCTCCATTGCCGGCAATGGGGTGGACGCGGTTTTGGGATGACGCATCTGGCCCGCGGGCCGGCAGTTTGACACCCCTGATCTATGTAATCCATAATTATCACCTAAAGCTGTTATTTTTACATGGGATAATTTAAGTAAAGTCAATTTTTTATTAATTACCAGATATACATCAAAATGACAGTGCGCCATCGAAGGATAGGATGCGTAACCAGGTTGAGGACCCCAGGGGTAGAATCGTCCTTCTTGATGGCTCCTTTGCATGGCTTCAGTTTTACCACCAGCCTGTCTTTCCCATTACGAAGAGCCATGTATTGCAGTACCTGCTCTGCTTCTGCTGTTCTGCCTTGAGAATATAACCATCTTGGTGATTCAGGAAGCATGCTGAAAAAAGCAAATCACGAAGGAGAAATATATATATAGTTACAAAGGTTCTTTTTGAATCAATACACTGTGCTAACAAAAAAGATTATTCAGCAAATGTTTTACAAGGTTTGACGAAAGGTATGTGACACAGAAATTTGGAAAAATATGAAATGTATTTGCTGGGGTTTTTTTACATTGATTAAAACATTCTATAAATTATAGAATAATAGTGTCGGCTCCGACAGATGAAATCCTTCAAAGAACTTCGAGGCATTGTTTACCTTAAAGAATTTTTATTCGAGAAGCATAACATCGGCACTAACATAATCGGAGCCAAAAACTGAATCCCCCCCCCTTGAGCACATAGTATCAAAGCACAATTCCCTCCTCCAATTAACAGTCATAAATCACATTCCCTAATTAGTTTAAAGCACGGGCTTTCCCTCCAGTCAAGCCAATTCTTATCATCTCTTATTTCAACAACCTTGATTCTCACGCTAGGTTCAGTATTATTATGTCTAGCTGAACTCTCATGCACATCCCTCCCCTCCCCAGCATCATCTAACTCTAAAAGAGAAAAGAAGAAAATGGCTGCATCTCCATCTGTTGTCAAAGCAAAAACATCCGATGTTAAGCAGCGTTGACAAATAGCTTGAATATTATTCAAAATTAACTGACAGAGACCTCATTTAATATGACAAGCACCACAACTCACATATCCTAATTTTTTGTTACACTGATTCTGATTCTAATGTAACTGCAGAGATGCAGAGAAATGGCTTTGAAGCAAATATTCACTAACTATTATGTTGGGGGGAAAAGACAGAAGCTTTTCTTAAATCCTGGGAAGGGAGAGATTATTAATAAGAGACCCAGGTAGGCCCCTGCCAGTCTCACTGGGATATAAGCGGGAGGGGAGGAAAAGTAAAATCTGATTTGTAAGATTCAGTTATTGTAGCCTCCTAATACAGTTCTAACGTTTGAAGAGCCAGTTTGGAGTAGTGGTGCAAGTGCTAGCCTGGAAACGGAAGATTATGAGTTCTAATCCCACTTTAGGCCTTTTGTGACTGGCATTTGCAAAAGGTTGTATGTTGCTTTTCATACTGCACGGCCAGTCACACTTTTCTCACCACAGATTACAGCTATAGTGGACTGATTTGCAATTAAAAATAACCTATGTGTAGATTTACCCATCACGTTAAATCCAAAACAAACTACTCATATTATGGCTTAATGGATCATCTCAATCAGACCATAGGCTTGTTTCTAAAGAAGTTTAAAAAGTGCAGTGAAGGGAAACTTTCCTCTCACCTAAATAATTCAGCAGAGAAATGTGCAACTAGTCTATGCACAATACAGCCACACTACAAGGCAGGGATACTCAGAATCCACAGTTTCACAGTTTCATGAAGGAAGATGTACAGGTGAAGACCTACACTGGGCTTCCTTAGGCAACACATTTTGCACCCAGATATTCAAGAGTCTCCCCCACCTTCCCAAGGGATTTTTCATGGGATTCCAGTGACTGCAGGGGAAATCTTAAGCTATAAGTCTTTATGATAAAGAGATGAGATGCAGGTCATTCTTACTCATCCTTGCTCTCTCTCTCTGGACTGTTTTCGTCACAATGATATGGCATGCACCAGCGCTCATTATACTAACCATATTTTGCTTATACTCAAAAATATGCAACTGATTTTCAGTATCTATTTTAGAAACACACTGCCAAGCAAACTAAAATAATCTGCTTAATAATTCCTCTGATTTCATTAAGAATATAAAGACGCCAATCTTTTATCTCTTTAATATTACCCTTTAACTTTGGGTTAGTGTTTGGCCTTTGTCTACTGTGGATATAATTATGACTTACAAAGAAAGAAGAAAAAAGAAAAGTCCTGGAGAATTTGATACAAAGGCAAGAAGGCGCCAGTCTCTTATGTAATATCCCAGTAAGGCATAAACAGCTATGCCGAATGCAAATGTCAAATTTGTCAACGAGCCTGAAAATACAAGCAAAAACAAAGTATTTTATAAAATGCTGACAAAACATCCCAGACATCTCAGCAGTACACCCGTATTAAGGACATAATTTTATTATGCTAGGTACATAATTTATACTGGAATCATATTAATTATAAATTCACGAATAAGAAAACAAAAGCAAAGATTAAAATAATAATTAAACCAAATAATTGTAAAGAATCATTATTTATTTTCATACATAATTATCTATATAAATAAAAATGTAAATGTTCGTTTGTTCAAAATCTTAAATCTCCGAAAGTTCTTCACCGATTGCTTTGAAATTTTGACACAACGTTGCATTCGAATACGTGTGTGTTTTTATATACCTATATTATATAGATGTCATACCTGTGACAGGTAAAAACATGCTTTTTTTGAAAAACAGCGCCATCTGTTGGACGTAAAAGCAACACACGCTTTTACCAGACTGAGCCACAGCAACACGTGGCTGGGTACAGCTAGTATACTAATAATAATCATCATTATAAAGTTATTCATTGAAGTCCATATAAATAATACCTTTGTGATTTGTCAAGTGGTAGCAAATTTAGATTAATTTATTGTAGAACACTTTGGTTATTGTAAGTTCATAACATGCTATACAGGCTGCTAATCCTTTCTTAGTCTGAGAAGTTAGATTCTTATTGTTTAAAAATATGACTTTGGGTAAAGTCATATTTAGTTATCAATCATGACAACTAACAAGCGTAACATGCTAACGAAGAGTAAGGTCACAACATTAAGGTATCCAGGATACCTTAATATAACTTCCTAACTTAGAATGAGAGATACAGACTAAAGCACAGAACAAAATAGTATTTTTCAGTGTTATTAGCAATTGCAATCATATTTGTGTGGACATAAAATCTCACTGACCTCAATGGAGTGCACGCTAAACCTACAATCTAATACACATTTACTGTAATAATTAAAACAATTCAATTCAGTTCAAACCAAGTATAGGTAATCCTTGCTGAATGACCATACATTCAGCGACTGTTCACAGTTACAATGACGCTGCATGAGAGGAACTTTCCTTGTATGATCCTCATAGTTGTGGCTTGTTGCAGCATCCCCAATGTTAATAGGAAAGCTAGCAGGAGGTCACAAATGGCAATCACATGGCCGTGGGATACTGTGACTGCACAGGATTTACTTAACAATGGCATGTGGACTGCCAGAATTGCTGTTATAAGAGTTGCAGTGGCCAGGTGAGGTTGCATTTTACAATTCCTTTGTTTGCAATGAAGTTCTCAGTGCCAATTACCATAGTTAAGAAAGGACTATCTAGGCCTGGGCTAGGCAACCTTGGCTCTTTTATGACTCGTGGACTTCAACTCCCAGAATTCCTGAGCCAGCATGGTATAGGTATAGGCAACCTTGGCTCTTTTATGACTTGAGGACTTCAACTCCCAGAATTCCTGAGCCAGCTATGCTGAGGGGAAAGGGAGAGGTTTCCAAGCTGAACCATGCTAGCTCAGAAATTCTGGGAGTTGAAGTCCACGAGTCATAAAAGAGCCAAGGTTGCCTACCCCTGATCTATATACATAGAACCAGTCTGTATGTCAGTTTATTAAATTGAAATTTAGGCTTCCAGAACCCCTATCAGGCATGAGAATTATAGAGGAAAATATTTGACACATATTGTTACTTTACACTAAGCAACACAAGCACAGCTCACAGCAGCTTAAGACACTGTCATCATGACAAAACAACATCAATGCTACTGTGAAAAGCAATGGGCAACAGTACTCTCCTCCTCAATAATGTTTCTTCACCAGGTCAGTAAGGAAAGGGAAGAACAAGAGATAGACTATGCGTCTTCAGAAAGGATATTTTTAAGGCAATGTTATTTAGACTAAAAATACTGATGTTCCAACCATAAATAACTTTTAAACAATTTTTATACACTAGCATTTTAACAATTGTGTTTGTGTTATCATGAGTTAAGTCCTCAGATTTTACCTGTCATTGCCCAGAAAGATTTTCCTACATATTCTTGTGTCAAAACAAAAGACACTAAGGACATGCCACCATTTGTAATTCCAACAAAAAGGCGTGATACTGCAAATATTTCGTAATTTGGAGCAAATGCTGAAACATATCCAAAAATGACATCCAAAAAAAGCCCTGCGCAAAAGATATATAATAAAGAAAAATTAATATAGTGCAATCCAACCATATCCAGTGACCCTACTATATAGGATGGCAACTTACAAATGAAAAAAGACAGGAAGGAAATTATTATCCGTTTTTTCACAATGGTTAAAGAAAAATAGTATAATTAGTATCTTCTAAGCAGACAAATATATATTCAAGATTTTCTAAAGATACTCTGAAAAAAGTAACCTTGCAATATGGCTAAGGCAAAATATTGGAGATGCAGTCCTAATGAAATATATTTCAGACATGATGATATTAATACTGAATTTAAAATATTGTAGCAAGAAACAATAAATGTTACATTTATTACGATGACTATATTAGGTCCTATTAAAAATACAAATACATTAGTTGTTTATGATATATTTCACTGCGTTCAAATGGAAATCCTATCCTACTGATGCCTAATATTAATTGAGTCTCATGTTATAGGACAGGGGTAGGCAACCTTGGCTCTTTTGTGACTCGTGGACTTCAACTCCCAGAATTCCTGAGCCAGCATGGCTCAGCTTGGAAACTCTCCCTTTCCCTTCAGCATGGATTCTGAGTATCCCTGCCTTGTAGTGTGGCTGTATTGGGCATAGCCTAGTCCAGGGGTAGGCAACCTTGACTCTTTTATGACTCGTGGACTTCAACTCCCAGAATTCCTGAGCCAGCCATGCTGACGGGAAAGGGAGAGGTTTCCAAGCTGAGCCATGCTGGCTCAGGAATTCTGGGAGTTGAAGTCCACGAGTCATAAAAGAGCCAAGGTTGCCTACCCCTGATATAGGAGGTTGTCCTCAGCAACCTACGTGCTAAGTACTGGCCTAAAACCAATGTTCCTACTAAATTATGCCCATATGTGGCCAAGCAGCAGTTGCGCACACCTAGTCTTTGCTTGCTTCTCCTCCAAACCCCAGCAGCTTCGTGAGTTTTCTTCCAGGCACTGCAAGCTGCTGCTCTTCAAGGACTGCATTTCAGCATAAGAACAACTAGAGGTCTAGGGAGGGACTGGGGGCACACAGGAGTGAGATCAGGGCTGCTGCATATCAAGCTTCAAGCATTAAGAGCCAAACTTGGGGGGACTGTCTGTCAGAAGGGAAGGTCTTCCCCATCTAACATTTGCTCATTCGGCACATGTACAATCCCCTCTGTAGACCTGCACTGCCCTCAGCAGCCTTCCCTTATCTCAGTGTTTCTCAACCTTGACAATTTTAAGACATGTGGACTTCAACTCCCAGAATTCCACAGCCAGCATTGCTGGCTGTGGAATTCTGGGAGTTGAAGTCCACATGCCTTAAAATTGTCAAGGTTGAGAAACACTGCGCTTATCTCCTTTGAGCATCTATGAACTGAGGAATATATATACCCATTGAGTGCAAAAAGCTGTTGCTTTTGCAAAGAGCCACTGTGGAAGGAGAGGGGGTCCTGGCTGAGCCTGGTAGGGAATCTCAGCAGCACCCCACCCAAGTCCGATGCTGGCAAGGCAGCCATCCACAAGAAGCTTCCCGGCTCCAACCTGTCCCGGAAGCATTTGCTCCTGGCTTCTCTTTGAAAGCTCCTGAAAGTTGCCTGATTTACAACCAGGACATAACTAAGGACAGAGCTGGGCTAGACCCAGCCTCCTGCTGACTCCAGAAAAAGTCAGCTGTTAAAGCTTGCAAGAATTTCATCCAGCCCTTGAGACGTGATCAGCCTTGCTCAGCAGCTGCTACCTAGAAATTCACTACTTTTGAACAGGGTCCATTTAGCTAGCAAGGCTTGCATTTATTGAGAGGCCAATTATTTCTGAGTGTCAAAAGTTAGCAGCCGTCACATGCACCAGGACACATCTCTGCACCCTGTTGGAGATGGGTTCTGAAATAATACCACCCTGTGCAAACTGGAGCCTGTGAAATTATACTACAGTAGTGGCCAAAATTGTGGAAACCTTTTGGGAAAAGTGTACAGTAGAAATGCCACCTTTGGTTAAGTTTCCACCAATTTTTCTTCTAATTTCTTTATACCTGTAGCCTTGTTCACTTAATAATACTATTTTACATCGCTTTCTGGGCAACCAGTCAACTCTTTGCACCATTACTTTAATTTTATTACGTTTTACAAGCTCACTAAATGAAAAAACACAAAAAATCCCCAACCAACTTGATAAGCGATCACATACCACACTGACAAATGTCCTCCTCTCAGCTTCAATACATGACATCAAGAACTGAATCCTACTGTGATCTGATTGGCTCATTGCCAAAACAAGATGACACCTGATTGGCTCTCTAAACACTCATGCTCATTGGCTACCATCAGATGAAGGAAAGCTACCTGATATCAACTTAAGCAAGTTGTGCTTCCTTTTTCTGGTTACTTGGCTATGACTTTTCATAGAATACAGACAGATAATTGAACAAACTTTGTTGCATTACATTCTTGATTAAATTATCTTTCCGTTGATATATCATTTTATGGTACTACTCCAAAAGAAAAAGTGGTGTTATTAGCCATCAAACCCCAAAAATACACTTTTCCCAAAAGGTTTCCACAATTTTGGCCACTACTGTATACTCTGATAGATGGGGGGTTAACTCTCAGCTCAACAGACCTGGCCTAGAGAAAGAATCCAGTCATCTTTCTTTGTCTGTGACTAGAGAAGTTTTTAAGATCTGGAAGAAAAAAAACCCCTGAACTAAACATACCCCACAAGCAAGGTTCCCTCTCTGCTGTCCCCCAACCTAGCCTAAAGTTGCCCAGGCCATCTCAACTGCTCCTCAGAAGTTGTCTGCTTTCCTGGCTTAGACGAAAGGCTAGAGCAGGCATAGGCAACCTTGGCTCTTTTATGACTCGTGGACTTCAACTCCCAGAATTCCTGAGCCAGCATGGCTCAGCTTGGAATCTCTCCCTTTCCCCTCAGCATGGCTGGCTCAGGAATTCTGGGAGTTGAAGTCCACGAGTCATAAAAGAGCCAAGGTTGCCTACCCCTGGGCTACAGGATAATCAAATACATCCATAACATACAACTGCTATTTAACATCTTACCTGCTAGATATACAGGCTTTCTGCCCAATTTATCTGACAATGGGCCAAACAGTATATTTCCAATGAGTAACCCGGCAAAATACAAGGATGAGGCCAGGTTCACTTTGTATGCTTCGTGTTTGATTAAATACCACTACGGGAGACAAATAAAAAAGAAACAATTTTCATTTAAAGCACTGCCATACCAGCGATAGCCTCTAATCACAGTAAACTCCCCAAACTGCTCTCTCCGTTCATTTTTCTTTCGGTGGAACTTCATAAACAGAAATAATGCTTGCCAGAAACGATCGCTTGGGGGGAGGTAGGAATTTAGTTTTTGTTTTTGGGGGGTAAAAACCTCAGCAATTGAGTCAGAGACCAAACTCTCACGCCGTTCAGAGGGTTTATGACTTATGCTGACATATAAAAATGAATTGTTTAAAAAAATAGTAAGTACACCGTAAATGACAAAGAATAAAGAATAATATAAATGATATTTTTCTGACCATATGCTGTCCTATGATTTAGGTTACTGTAACAAGTAGGAGAAGTCCTCATTTAGTAACCACAATTGGGCAAAGCGAAGCAGCTGCTAAGTGGGAAATCAATCACATGATCGTGACTGTGCTTTTCTTTTCTGTACTTCCCACTTTCTGGAACACTCACCCTGGCATTGGCATAATTAGCCAGAAGAGAATTAACGTTTGCATTTACATTCATTGTAGAGGAGGGATTAGAACAGTGATGGCAAACCTTTTAGAGACCGAGCGCCCAAACTGCAACCCAAACTCACTTATGTATCGTCGGGTGCCGGGTGGGCGTGCCCCATTGGGTGGGTGTGGCCAATTGGGTGGGCGATGGTAACGGCAGACTGGGTGGGACTAAAAAGTTCAATCAATCAATTCCAACTTTACGAGAAATTGAAATTGATTTTGATTGATTGAACCTTTTCTCTTTTTTTTTGCACACAGCGGTGGAGGTCTAAAGAGAAAAGGTTTTATAAAACCCAGCTGAAGGCCTAGGACTGGGGCGACGGCACGCGTGCCCACAGAGAGGGCTCTACGTGCCACCTGTGGCACGCGTGCCATAGGTTTGCCACCACGGGATCAGAAGTAGGCATGGAGAAGCAGAATGGATCAGGCACAACAGACTTTGCATCCTGAAACTGCTTCCCCCACTCCACCCTGCCCCTCGGCAGAGTGAATAGATTGGAGAGGAAAGGGGTAGAAGAGAGCAAGCAAACACACAAAAGGGAATGCACCACATGGTTTGTGTACTATGCCTGTGGTTGCTGGCACCGGTGAATTGGCTTCGATGTGTATTTCCTATTGTATGCCTGTTTACTCTCTTTTAATTTCTTCCCCTCCAAACTCTCCACTCTGTAAGGAAGGGGGGAAAAGAAAAACAGGTCACGTATAGGACGTGTATTGACTTTTAATAGGGATCACATGGTGGAGGAATGCTGCAAAAGTCATAAATGCAGGCATTAGTTGTAAAGTTATATTTTTCAGTACCATCGTAACTCCAAACAGTCACAATGGTAAGCGAATACTACCTGTATTTGGGTGTGAATTTTGGCCCTTAGTTTAGGTACAAGGGGAACAACTTCTTGGAACTGTGACCAAAGGGCAAGGGCAATGAAATGGCTATAGTTATGTAACCTTGATAACCTTCAGCGGAGCTGTTCCACAGATAATCTATTGTAAGACTCTGCTTGTGAGACTAGTCCAGGGGTCTTCAAACTTGGCCCTTTTATGACTTGTGGACTTCAACTCCCAGAATTCGTTGCTGGCTGAGGAATTCTGAGGAATTCCTGGGAGTTGAAGTCCACAAGTCATAAAAGGGCCAAGTTTGAAGACCCCTGGACTAGGCTCTAGGAATCAAATGGGATTACTGCTAATATATCAGCCCCCCTGCCCAAACTACTTGAGGCAGTGGCTTGACTGGCAGTGGAGTTCCCCAGACTAAGGGTACTGGGGGATTTTAATCTAATCTCTCTGGGCACAAGTTCAGACCTGATTTGTGAGTTTGTGACCATCGTGGACTGATCCAGGTTATGGGGGTAACTCGCAGTAACAGTCACACAGGAGACTTAGTTTTTATCTTGGGACAGTCGCAACGTATTCTGAAGCTGGGACATCACCATTAATAGCCTTGGATCACATCACACCTATATAGCCTCTCTATATCCATAGACCTCAGAGAGCTCCCTGCTTTTCTGAGAAACTCTGAGAGATGAAATAACAGAAGATGTGTCTAGCCCAGGGGTAGGCAATCTTGGCTCTTTTATGACTCGTGGACTTCAACTCCCAAAATTCCTGAGCCAGCCATGCTGAGGGGAAAGGGAGATGTTTCCAAGCTGAGCCATGCTGGCTCAGGAATTCTGGGAGTTGAAGTCCACGAGTCATAAAAGAGCCAAGGTTGCCTACCCCTGGTCTAGAAAGTTACTAGAACAAGATGGATTGTATCTGGTCAGAAGTATATTTATGTTTTTTTATAAGTTTGCTTCTTACATAAAAGATCCCAAAAGCACCATTGACACTTACACTACAGGACATTCTACAATTCTATACGTATGATCAACCCTTATATGTTGATATAGTACAGCATTGTCCCTTAAAGCATTTACATTCAATGTCTTGTGCCTAAATAGGCCAGGATTTTGTTTTCCACACTGAAAACTATGCTCTCCTTTAATACAGCCAGTTTAACTGGCTTTTTAAAAATATATATATTCAGTCACTATGCAGTTTTGGTTGGGGACCTAAATTGCATAAAAATATTAACTCAGGGCAACAAAACATACTTGCCTCTGTTGCTATAGAAGTGAAATTACTGGTGAACCTGACATGTTTTGCAAGAGCTTCTGCATTAGTCAGAATTCCTTCTTGGTCAAGATGATATTCCGGCACAGCTCCCACGAGAACAATAAGCATAGACTGGAAGGCAACAAACACCTTAAAAGGAAAACAAAAAGAGGTAATTTACGGTAAACTGTCAGATCTCTCCGTCTCTTTGTCTCACTGTGTTTCTCTCTTTCATACACACACACAAACACACATTTGTTCATGGCCCATAGCTTTGGGGGAGGGATATTGAAAATATTTCATAAACAAATTGGTCTAATATACACAGAGTTCCTAGCACACAATATTAACACTCCAATGAAAATGTTCTGATCAGTGTGACACATATATTCTTCCTAGGAATAATCCAAAATGTATTATACTGTATTTTATTGTTATCCTACGTACCGTATATTAACTGATAACAATCCAATGGGAACATAGCGGAGACTATCTAGGAATGTTTCAGCCCAAAAGTGTCAGGTTCCCTTTTGGGTGCCAATCTGCTGGGGGGGGGGGGGAAGGCTCAGGGGAGCATTCTTTGCATGCTTTCACTTTTGCTGGAACCACATGGGAATTAGGGAGGGGGATCATCTTTGGAGACAGAATGGACTCCCTCCCAGCCAGTTCCAGTCTGACTCCAAGGCCATTGCACCTTGAGGATGAACTGTTATCTGTCCTGTACCTCAGCACTTTCAAAACAATCTTGTAGCACTGTATTGGCTGCCAATGGACTGGTCAGCAGAGTTGAGTTTCGAAATGGGAAGAATAGCTTGGTGCTTTGTGACCTTACTGCAACCACTATTTTTCAGTAAACGTTCTTTTGATAACCACATGGTGTCAAGAGTTGTGCATTCCTGAGAGGACTAGCTGGGGCAGGTCCTTACATTAGGCAGAATCTGCAATAGTGGTCAACCTGGAGAGGCACCTACTCCTACCCTGGGGACCGTGCAAGGAATGTTTGCACAAGGCAGCAACCAGGAAGAAGAGGAATGCTGGGGGAAAACCTCTACCAAGGCTCAACCTGGGGTGGACCTCTCCAGGTAGACAGCCTGGGAGATTCATCGAAGCCCAGGTGTTCCATTGGCGTCGGGAAGAAAGATGATTGGGAAGGACGAACCAAGGGAGTACCAACGACGCGAATGGCAAGCGGAGCTGGAAGAGCTCGGGGATGAGAAGGAAGAAAGCAGCGAAATTGATCATGCCGATTTCCTCATGAAACAAGCTACGCGCTCCATGATGGAAACATTCCAGTGCCTCAAGGCACGCGAGACCCTAGTCAGAATGGCCGCTGGGGACACTCGCCAAATCAAGAGGAGGATGACGGCAGAAGAGTCTCCACGTTAGACACCATGGTGGGAGTCTCAACAACCCCAGCTGGTGCAATCGCAGCCACGAAAGCAGTGAAAAAGGACACCACCAGGACTTCCAGTTTTGCGCAGCAGCACATGGTCGCGGGATTGCGAAGCTCCGCTTCCCGCGGCTCTTGACCCTAAATGTGCCTAAAGCCACCCTGAAGAGGCGGTGAAGAGAGAGGGGCGCCCCAGAGATTCGGGAATGACGGCAGTCTTCCCGTTTGATTGGGAAATTCCCTCTAACCGACAGGAGAAAGGCTGGTCCCATCTCAGTAACCAGCCCAAGCTCCTTGCAGCCAAAGTCCACAAATACTCATGAGAACATCGGTGAACAGCGTGCTGAAACTGGGTGAGAAATTTGATCTTATCCTACTCTATATCCTGAATTTTGGGAAACACCCCAAGAAGCAAAAAAGCCTCCAAAAGGAGGGGGAGCTTTGCCCCATCCTCCCACCAAAGGAAGCGGCGAATTAAACTATTAAGGGGGACAGAAACATACTGTTGCTGACATCTAGTGAAGGAAGAGAATATATAACTTTAGCTGCTTTGTTATAAGTATTGGCAGGACGCCCAGAATGAGATAACCCACTTCTTTGATTTTTAAAAAGAGCTAAACAAAACATTCTAGGCCAGCCATAATAAGCAAAGACTATAATTGAAAAAGCATAATTGACCTTCCTGGATGATAAACACCTACTGACTGTGACTTTTAAGCTGTTTTCAGAGAAAGAATTTTTTTTTTAATTCTAGCTGTCATGGAATCTCAAGAGCTTGCAAAAAGAACTTGTCAAGAAAAACCAAATACTTTCCAGGGGGAAATGCTCGCTATGTTGCAACTAATCCAAACAACAATGGCTCAACACCATGATGAAATTAAAAACAACTTTGATGACATAAATGGACGTATCTTTACGTTAACCTCACAACATAAGAATTTTCAGAAAATGAGTGGGCTTGAATTTGGGCCTTTTCACTTGTAGTTCAACACTAACCAATCTTCTGCAAACTTCAATTTTCTCCCAGTATTCTACAGCTCTCAGAATTGTCAGCCAATAAATATTGACAAGGAATTCTGGAAAACATAATCCAATACAGCTGGAGAAAAGTTCTAATACTCTAGACTTAGATTAATAGACTCTGACACATATATTGTATAAAACAAAAACACATTCTTATGTGTCACTTTTACCATTCATATATAGATTGACAAATAAAGTTTGTCTCTTTCACCTTCTCTGTTGTAGCATATATGTGCCCTGGAGAATGCTTTACCACACATAAAATATTCCTGCAAAATTTATCTTAGCACAAATAGGTTGAAATATATTTTAAATTAAGTAAATATATGCACAACCCAGACAGCATTGGGGGGGGGAAGACAGTGGCCACTAAAAACCCATATTCAAAGTTGCAACAGGCAATCTTACAACTAAATTGAAGATTCGGAAGTTAGTAATTCCTGTTTCCACTGGCAAGTTCTCCTACCAGTGCAGGGCTAAATTTGTGCAACTCATATGACCCCCTCCTCTTAATACACTATAATTCTGGGTAGCTCCTAGCAGCCATAAAAACATGTAAGAAATCATTTTACAACAACCAACGAAGCACAAGAAGAGTACTTCATCGTGTAATGTTAATCCAGTGAGGCGGGTTCTAATTCATCTAAAGATTGGGGATATCCCCGCACACTCTTTCCAAGTGATGCTATACAAAGAGGGGTCTTCAAACTTGGTCCTTTTATGACTTGTGGACTTCAACTCCCAGAATTCCTCAGCCAGCGATGCTGGCTGAGGAATTCTGGGAGTTGAAGTCCACAAGTCAGAAAAGGGCCAAGTTTGAAGACCCCTGCTTTAAACTATGCATAAAAAGCAGCATTGGCTTCCTTGAGGGTAAGCGAAGGCACTTGCTCTCAAGCAGGGGTAGGCATAGCATAGCATAGCTGACTCAGGAATTCTGGGAGTTGAAGTCCATAAGTCATAAAAGATCCCTGCTCTCAAGAAAGCCAAAGCTTTTTCGTCATTTTGAGGGGAGAAATTACCTCATTTTCTTAAACATTTTTAAAGCTTTAAGCCAGGGGTAGGCAACCTTGGCCTTTTTATGACTTGTGGACTTCAACTCCCAGGATTCCTCAGCCAGCGATGCTGGCTGAGGAATTCTGGGAGTTGAAGTCCACCAGTCATAAAAGGACCAAGTTTGAGGACCCCTGCTGTACAATATTCTCTTTCCCTCCCCGTCTGAATTGTCAGGAAAAACGGCCACCCAGGAAAGATGTTAAACCCGCTTTTTTTACGACCCCCAAAGTCCAAGGAGATGCCGGTCGCTCCCCGCAAACGAGAGAAACGAGCCTCCCCCCCCCCCCGCAATTCCAGCCGTTTTCACGGACCACAAAGGAAGCGGCCGCATTTCCTGCCACGCCAGCCAGCGGAGGACGGCGCGCTCCACCCACTCCCCATCGTTGCCTTGACGACTGCAGCTACGTACTCCTCGCGCGCGCGCCCCCCTTATGCGCTCGACGAATGGGAAAGGAGGGGATGGGACCGAGGAGGACGGTGAAGGAGCGGCGAGGCCCCCCCCCCGCCCCTCGGCCTCTGCGCCCACCTGTAGCAGCACCAGGAACGCGGCGAGCTTCTTCTGCTGGGGGCCGAACTCCCCCACCAGCCCAAAAGCCTCATCCAGATCCATGGCTCCGTCGGGTCACCGCGCGGCATCCCCGTCACAGTCCCCGAAAGCGAACGGCGGGCTCTAGAGCGCTCAGCTCGCTTCTCCTCTCCTCTGCCGTTACTTTCCGGAGGTGGCGGTTCGAAGGAACGCTCGCAGCGGCCTCTATTGGCTGTTTGGGGGCAAAACAACAGCCAGTCATCGTGGGGGCGGGGTTACTGTTCGGAGTATGGGGAGGGGGGCCCTCCGGAGGGTTCTGCTTCACGCTTGCGCAGAACGCGCGGTTGGAGGCGGGCGCTTGGCTGTTTGGCTCGGTTACCGGGCCTCCTGAATGGAAGCTGGTTGCTTGATGGGCATCTTTATGTCGAATGAAAGTTCGGCTATAACTGATTATGACAATTGGTGAAGGCAAAAGCAGTTGCACAAGTACAGCATAGGTGGCACCTTGCTCAATAGTAGTAACTGTGAGAGGGATCTCGGAGTCCTAGTGGACAATCACCTAAATATGAGCCAGCAGTGTGCTGCAGCTGCCAAAAAGGCCAACACAGTGCTGGGCTGCATTAACAGAGGGATAGAATCAAGATCGCGTGAAGTATTAATACCACTTTACAATGCCTTAGTAAGGCCACACTTGGAATACTGCATCCAGTTTTGGTCACCGCGATGTAAAAAAGATGTTGAGACTTTAGAAAGAGTATAGAGAAGAGCAACAAAGATGATTAGGGGACTGGAGGCTAAAGCATATAAGGAACGGCTGCTGGAATTGGGTATGTCTAGTTTAATGAAGAGAAGGACGAGGGGGGACATGATAGCAGTGTTCCAATATCTCAGGTGCTGCCATAAAGAAGAGGGAGTCAAGCTATTTTCCAAAGCGCCTGGAGGCAGGACAAGAAGCAACGGGTGGAAACTAAGCAAGGAGAGAAGCAACCTAGAACTAAGGAGAAACTTCCTGATAGTTAGAACAATTAACCAGTGGAACAACCTGCCTCCAGAAGCGGTGAATGCTCCAACACTGGAAGTTTTTAAGAAGAGACTGGACAGCCATTTGTCCGAAATGGTATAGGGTTTCCTGCCTGAGCAGGGGGTTGGACTAGATGACCTTCAAGGTCCCTTCCAACTTTACTATTATTATTATTATTATTAAATCCCCGAATTTCCCAGCCAGGGAAATTGATGAGCGGCAAGGTAGAGGTACACCAGGGGTCTTCAAACTTGGCTCTTTTATGACTGGTGGACTTCAACTCCCAGAATTCCTCAGCCAGGCACGCTGGCTGAGGAATTCTGGGAGTTGAAGTCCACCAGTCATTCAAGGGCCAAGTTTAAAGACCCCTGATTACACTAACACAAGGGTATTCAAATTTGGCCCTTTTGTCAAGCTTGACAAAAAACAGTAGAGATTGTGGAATGGAATGCAAAGGTGGGAGGGATGGTATCTAGGTAACCAAGGAGTCTTTGAGAGCCCACAAGAACACCAAGGCCACTAACGCAGATGTTTGATGGAGAAGTGGACTTTTCCCATAACATATTACCATTGGACAGTGTGAACACCCGGTGGGTGAGGGCGAGGGAATCTATTGTTTAATTAAGTAAGCTTTCACGTAGGAAAATCAGAGCTGGTTTCATTTCTTCTGTGCCAATGTAAATTTTCAGTAAAGTATTATACTCTTGGTAAAATCACATCCCAGTTTATTTTTCTGGAAATGCCAACTGGACAGCTGACAAGATTATAGAGATTTGGCCAGTTTCTAAAAAAATCCTGCCTATTGTTTGCAACCAAACCTGAAAGGTTGGACATATTTGCAAGGCAACACACACAATAAATTATTTGCTATCAGACCATGAAGCTTGAATGTTATATTTAAAATGCACTTTTTAAAATAGAATTACCTTTGTAGCATTAAAGAGCAACTTTCTAGAAAGCAAAGACCCAAGCTGAGAATTTAAATGATTTCAGCTAATAGAAACCAAGAGAAAATAAATAAAATTTAAGGAATTATTCATTCTCATCCTAAAGAGTTATGCTGGTAGTTGCTTGCTTTCAATCAATTTATTCCCAAACTGTTAAGGCACAGGTGTCAAACTCGCGACGTCACGTGACGTGTCGCAACATCACATGACTTTTTTCCCATGGCTGGCAATGGGGTGGACGCGGTTTTGGCATGATGCATCCAGTCCATGGGCCGGCAGTTTGACACCCCTGTGTTAAGGGAACCAAACTTCTTAATCCCCACTGATGCTAGCTTGAGTTCATTGGAGTAAGGATGAGATACAAATGTAGTACAGAATATCATTATGCGTAAGACATGAATGGAACTGACTTGGTAGAAACCAATAATCTGTTACTAACTATAAAATTCTATTATAAACAGTACAGGAAAAGGTAATTAAAGGCAAAACCAATATTAAACTTACAAAGGAAATAGGACAAACCACTTAATGGCAAATGAAAGGTAAATGGCAAAAAGGGCTGAAATAAAAAAAGGGTTGTACTACCTTAAAAAGTTATTTACAAAAGCAAATGCTGCAATTGCAAAGCAATTTTATGTACACAATAATCTTATTACCACACTTGGGACAAGAATTTCTATTTATATCAGTGCAATCGTAAAGCAAATCATCATGTCACAGGCCCCAATTTTATGATCATTTTTATTGAAGTTTCTAAGTGAATCATGTGATCATTAAGCAAGTACAATTTCCCCAGTTCACATTTTTTTATCAAACAGTGGCTGGGAAGGTTGTAAATTGCAATTGTGACCGCAGGCTGCTGCAACTGGTCATAAATTCAAGCCACTGGTATAATGGCCGTGAGTGCGAGGACAAGTTAACCATAACTTTTTGTGACACCATTGTAACTTCGAAAACTAATTAAATAAATGATCTTAAATCAAGGGCTACCTGTAGTTTTCTTTAGAAGTTCTTTTGTCTTCAGTAAAAATTATTCCCAGGTTAAGGATGTGGGATTCCAATTTGTCATTATTCTTATTGTGATTAAATGCTGTTAGTTTATTTACTACTATTAGTTTGCATTACATAGAAATGAGACAAGACAAACCCACTGGAAAATATTCATTTTATTAAGTAACATTTTTAAAATATAAGCCTTCATTCGCATCTTCCAAAATAGCAATTATGAAGACACAGCAGTATCAGTACAAAATTTTAGAAAAAGACATATCTTAGTACTACAAATACATAAACAAGTTTAATTATTACAGATAGAAAAGTTAGCTTTAGACTTTAAAATTATGAATCCAAATGTTGAAATTTCATTTCTTAAACATTACTAAATAAGCAGACCATTGTTCCCTTTGCATATATTTTTTGCATAATACTTGCTAATACATTGACCTAGTGAAGCCCTGTATCTTGGTTAAAGCAGGTAAAGTATGGTGTAAACCATTACATTACATATAAAATTTATCATGCCATGAAACTAAAAATAGGTTGGATGGTGGTGACCATAGCATTTAGGTCAGTGAAATATACCTATTTTGACTATTGTACTACTTGTAGTTTCATGGGAACAGTTCTAAGTCTTTTGATGCCTCAATGCCTATGCTGTGGGAACTTGTAGAGCGAGAGATTTCTTTAAGGGGCACCCAAATTTAAAAGGTGTCTACTTTTATTCATTAGTTTAGGGGGGGGACGCAAATGTGAGTCCTAAGTGAATTCCAGATGTTTGGGGTTGCAATGCTGAATATTGGCCATGCAAGCTAGAACTTCTCAGAACTAGAGACAGAAACATTAAGTACCTACTCTGGCAACACCAGACGTATGAGAGGTGGGCAATCTGCAGGTTACATGTGGCGTTCTCTCTCCTCCATTTTCAGTATCCAAGGGAAAGGTGTTGAGTGAATTTCTTACTTTACCTTGCCATTTAAGACTGAAATTTAAAGAAACTACTGCACTATTTAAAAACTCTTACACCCACAGAAACAGGTTTAAAAAATGAATGGAGTTAAGTAGCAAATTTTCAGCCTTTTAACACTTCACAAGGAAATGGAAAATGCTCTTAAAATATGGTCCTAACAACCTGTCAATATCACCAGCCATGCCTCTCTGCCTTCTGAAGCTGTGTATCTTACACAGTAATATGGATAACAAGAACTTAAAAGTAGCCAATAAACCTACCTTTTCCACTGCCAAATCAAATTTATTTGACAAGGCCTAGATATATTTTTTTAAAGACCAAAATGCCAACTTAATAATTGCTTAAATGTGGTCTGATCTGGTGGAAGAGGCAAGTTAGGATGACTATTTGTCTGACTTAGTACTGTGAGCTTTTCTATATAATGTGACAAATGTCCTTAAAGGAAATGTGAAATTAAGATAGATGTTCTCTTTATCTAATATAAAGTTTACCAATCAAAGATCTAGACTAAGGGAAAACGTATGAAAGGTAAATGCTAGGACATACTGAGTTCATTATATACCTTTTAATCACATTTTATTCTTCCTGTACCCAACATAACACTAATAAATACAATGAAATGTAAAAGCAGACTCTCTTTCTGTGATAAAATCTATTTCTGATGCCCAAAATAATATAGAAACTGTAATTTACTTTTTTATATTGGATAGACCTCCAGATTTCCACACTGAATTGTTAGCCTCTTCTCCAGAGAACACTATATATTTTGCCTGAATTTTTTGCAAGTTTCTTCTTAAGCCAAAAACTTAATCTTCCTTTGGGCTCTACTTACCTTTGTTTAAAGCCTAGTTTCAAAAGTGAAAAAAAAATCCATTTTTTTCAAGTATTCTTTATAAAATGTTGCTAGGATTTATAGCTGCGATAAACCTAAAACTATCAACCTCATTAATTGTTAAATACTATTTAAAAAGCACTTGACATGATTTTTACATCCAGATGCAATACTAAAGCATGTTATCCTAAAAGATTTTCTTGACCAGCAAAATGCAAGTCATCTTTCAAGAAAACTAGCAAAGAGCAATGTTTTCCAAACTACCACTTCAAAATCAGACCCTTAATTACATGCATGGCTTTAAAAAGAATTCCAGATTTTGCTATGAGAAAAGGACTAAGTAATCAGTCAATGTCATCTGTACAAAGTACGGCTTTAAGATCTGCCTACTACTAGTCAAACAACTGAAGTACTCTAGTTTTCTCCTATCCCTTACACATCTAAGCACAGCCCAAATGTGAACCCTTCGGCTTTGTTGTAGATGAACAATGGTCACCCAAACAACACTTAAAAAACACACACACAAACATGTAAGATTTCTGAAAACACTTAAGAAATTTTTTAAAAAATGATTTTTTTTTCAAAAGTGCTAGTTAGATGTTTTCATATTAAACTTGTGCAATACATGATTAAAACATATCTGACTACAGCATGATTTTTTTCCTATCCAACATATTTATAGACAAATTGAATTCAATTTCGAAGAATACCTTTGAAATCCTTTAACCTGTTTCAGTACGCTCATAAGTTGTAGTTGATAAAAAAGATATTAATTAGTAGAGCAATATTTTGCATAACAGAAGTTTCAAGCTTCAATTCTTGGCATCTACAAGGAACGCTGTAAGATTCTCTGTATGAAAATCTGGACAATAGACCCTTACCAATGCAGAACCTATTTGGATGGATGGATGGATGGATGGATAGATGGAATATAAATTGCTGAATGTACAGTAACAGAAAACTATGATTTTCATTATCAGCTATGCTAAATGCACAGGCTAACTCAAACCATTGCAGTAAACAACACAAAAGCCGCATTGAAACAAACAAACCCAAGACAGTCTTCAAACAGAACAACAGTGTCTTCACATCGCAGTGCATTGAGAGGAATTTCAAAATGAAATGGAAATGGCTGATTTTACGAGGTGGTGCAATGTTCTTCTACGACCTTAAATAACTCTTTGGATCCAAGCCATTCAGAAGATTACTTCCAAAATATGCCCTGTGTTCAATTTTTCACACTCTTGACTTGGACAACTTGCAGGAATTTAAAAATACAATGTTTTCAACAACGAGATCTCCAATATAGTACAGAAGTTCTACAGAAGTGCCATTTTTATTAAGTGTTGGACATCAGCTAACATTTAAAACACTCAGCTACTGAATTAAGAATCTGTCATGAAATTATTTAATTCATGAAGCACAGAAATATAAAGCGCTATTCATATTCACAAAAGTTTCATTAAGTAAAAATAGGCTAAATATGTTCCTCTCTTAAAAGAAAAAATGTAATTTAATTTTTGGGTATCTATGAAACCGAAGCACAATATGCATCCAGGTGGTCTTTCCTTTCTCTTATGTGACTGAAATAAAGCTCTGGGTTGAGAATACAAATCCATACAAATGCCAACTGTTTCTCAGAGATTGGACCAAAAAAACAGAAAAACTATTAGTACATAGATGTTTCCTTGTGTAGATTAGAAGTACACTTGTGGCCTTCTCTTCACTTTGTATTTTAATGAGCCACATCGCACCTGGAACAAATAAAAATAAAGAACGTTGTAAAAGATTTCAAGATATCCACAACACAATTTCTAATACAAAAAAAATAATATGTCGGTTGCTATTTCCTGATGGGGAGGGGAGGAAATGGCATCTAGCATGAGGATACGAATAAAGAAAATGGCAACCTGTAACAGAATGCAATCCATTTCACATCTGCATGCAATTCAGCAAAATGACTATTACCATAGGCACAGATATTATAAGGGGATACAAGTAATATAATAACCCATGAGGCCCTATGTGTTGTTCTGGTTTTTTTTTTATTTTGCTCTCCAAGTTATAGATAGTCCTCAACTTACAACAACAATTGAGCCCGGAAAAATCATTACGTAAAGAAGTGAGCAACATTATTAATGAAAGACGTTCCTCAAGATGACATGGGCACCAATAATCTTCATATTACAAGATTTTATGCACTTAAGTGGACATTCAAATATAACCACAAACACTTACTTACTTTTACAAGAAGAAATGGATTGCAATCTCGGTTCTCCCTCTTACCTCCAACAAGGTTCTTTTTTCCCTAAACCAAACCAGATTTGCTTCTGAACCTGAATAGACTAGGATCAAATTCTGGTTTGCAGTTTTCTTGCATCGAGATTCAGAAAAGTTAAGCTTCCTCTTTAAAATGTTTTCAACGAAAAATACTTAATGATTTCCACCTTATTTATTTATAGCATTTCAGACTGTCAAAAACAGATTTACTTGCCTCTTTGCGTCCTTTTATTGTTTTTACAGATTTCATACTTTGTGTTCGACGGAGACCTCTCTGAGCAAACATCTCATCTTCTGAATATGTCCCTTCCCTCTCTTCATCTGTTTTATCATCTTCAGAATCCTTTTTTACTGGAATACCATAACCTGAGGGGTAAAATCAAAATTCAAAAAACTGTTATACCAGTGATTGATCATTTCCTACTTTAAAAAAAATGTTGAATGTTCAAATGCCTAAAGCAGGGGTCTTCAAACTTGGCCCTTTTAGGACTTGTGGACTTCAACTCCCAGAATTCCTCAGCCAGCGTGCCTGGCTGAGGAATCCTGGGAGTTGAAGTCCACAAGTCATAAAAGCGCCAAGGTTGCCTACCCCTGGCTTAAAGCTTTAAAATGTTTAAGAAAATGAGGTAATTTCTCCCCTCAAAATGATAGGTATACAAAATTTGTAACTAATCTATATGCCTGAAAGTAAATGCAGCACTAAAAAGACCCAGAAAACACTTTTGTTTTTATCCCTATCTGTGATAATAAATGGTCTGGCCAAATTAAAAATAAAGGAAAACTGGCTCCTGGTAAATTAAGTAGATGAGAAGAATCCATGAAGGAATTGAGATAGGAACCTGTGTGTGCGTCTTTGTATGTATCTTTGTGTAGGGTTACATTGCTCGTTTAAAAAAACTCTTTGAAGTGATAGTATCAATTCCATGCCTATACCCCAAGCTGATGATTTTGGAGGCAGACAGTAAAAAGCAGGGCCTACAAGACCCTTTTGAGAGAATTTTCTTTGAAACTCTGTCAGCAAATCCCATAGAGTCAACATTCCAAGTTTCAAGAGAGGGAATATGTCTATGGAGATTCTCAGTCATCCAGGTAATGGTTGCCCCAAAGGTGATTTTTTCACGAGGTAACTGGACTTTGTTTTTCTTTGAAGACATTTCGCTTCTCGTCCAAGAAGCTTCTTCAGCTCTGACTGGATGGTGGAGAATGGCAGGATTTATACTCCTTGCAGTCAGCTGGTCTTTTGCATTCTTTTAGCGAGTAGTGGAAGCCCCTGGAGGCTTATCTGTGTCATCAGGGTCACCTGAGTAATGCAAATGGGCATGGAGCCTTCTTGGAACTGTTGACAAGACTCTGTTGTAGACTGGAGATAGAGGATGTCATATCCCTCCTCTCTGTTGAGAGAGGGCTATTCAATTTTGACATAAATGGCCTCTTTGACCCCTCTTTCAAACCATCCTCTCTGTCCAAAATGTGGATTTTGCTGTCTTCGAAAGAATGGCCTTTGTTTTTTAAATGCAGATGAATTGAACAGCCCTCTCTCAACACAGAGGGAGGGATACAGCATCATCTATCTCCAGTCTACAACAGAGTCCTTCCAGCAGTTCCAAGAAGGCTTCACATCCATTTGCACTACTCAGGTGACCCTGATGACACGACTCACTAAAAGAATGCAAAAGACCAGCTGTCTGCAAGGAGTATAAATCCTGCCTTTTTCTCACCATCCAGTCAGAGCTGAAGAAGCTTCTTGGAGGAGAAGCGAAACGTCTTCAAAGAAAAACAAGAAAAGTCCAGTTGTCTCATGAAAAAAAAGCACCTTTGGGACAAGAGAGAGAACAGTGCCCATGGTGAGCAGGGGGTCTTCACACTTGGCCCTTTTATGACTTGTGGACTTCAACTCCCAGAATTCCTCAGCCAGGCACACGTGCCTGGTTGAGGAATTCTGGGAGTTGAAGTCCACAAGTCATAAAAGGGCCAAGTTTGAAGGCCCCTGGACTAGAGGGTAATCCGCCGCTGCATATACAAAATGTGATCTAGAAAATCAGAGCTAGCCCAACTTAATAATATACCAACCTAAGGGTTCATTGGGAATTGAGCCCTTGGTTTTCTTTTTGGTAGCCGGCAAAGTCTGGTAGTGCCTTTGTCCTATTGGCTCATCGTCTGGGATTGCCGTGAGGTCATGCATGCTGAAACTCCGCAATTTCTCTGTTATTGCTCCTTGGCCCTGTAGCATGGAGGAGGAGGAAAAGTGAAATGGCGTTCAATGGGAGGAAGGAGGAATCCTCTTGGGTCAAAACTGATATACAGTCATGTGAAAAAGAGTGCTGCACCTCGTTGAATTCTTTTGTCTCTTGACTTTTTCAACCCATTTTAGCATGCAGCTATTTGATCTTCCATTTTAACAATATTGATAAAGACTTCCTTCTTTTTTCCCTCCATTTGTAAAATGTATTCCAAATTAGGTAGTATTCTGTTTCCTCCTGTTTTTTTTAATTCTTTAGTCATCTTATCCAATTCTGCGCAATACAATTTTTTTTTTATTAGCGCATCTCCGCTAGGCACTTCAGTTGCTTTCCAATTTTGGGCAAACAAAATTCTTGCCACCGTTATCACATGTATAATTAAATATATATCATCCTTGTTTATATTTTTTTCTAATATTCCTAGTAGTAGCATCTCTGGTTTATATTGGATTTTTTGACCCGTCATTTCTGTTATCCATTTCCAAACCCTAAGCCAATAAACCAATAAAGGGATATAAATAGAGGAAGATTATCAGAAATGTATAGCTGCTTATAAATATATAATATTTACTCTTATATGTATAGTATGGAATGATTAGACAAAGATATATGTCAAGGATGATACACTACGTTCAATGTTTTTTAATTTCTTTTTTCCTTATGTACTTAATTTTTTTAAAAACCAATATTGATAAAAGATATATAATGTAACAATTGTCACACGCCAGTTACAGCTGAGAACTTTAGGGGCCAAAATACATCCCCAAAATTGGATCAGCTGACCCACTGCTGTTACCTGTGTGTACTCGATAATACTTTTAAAAATACCCATATACAGGTAGTCCTCAACTTAGGACTGCTTCCCTGCCAGCGAGAGTGATTCTTTGCACTGCTCTTTGCCATATCACTACTGTCTGGAACAATCCTTACTACGAATGACCGATGAGGAAGGATCGCTGCTGCAGGACAAACCACAACATGATAGATTGTTTAGACCAGCAGAGGCGCACGGAATATGGCATGCCATAGTGCAAAGCATTGCCTTGGCCAGCCCAGAATTTTTTTTCCAGCATGTCTAAGAACGATGGGTCTTTGAATCCTATGCAACCAGGTACCTGCTTTAAGAATGACACACTGTATGACGTTCGCTGGGGAGAAAGATAATTTTATTCCTTCCTTAGCCACGAAACTCGATGGGCAAGCATGAGCCAACCACTCTGTTACTGTAATCTAATTCTCCATCCAATAGTTGTAAGAATAAATGGTGGGGAAGGGTGTAGAAACCAGGTAATCTGAGCTTTGCAGAAATAGAGGATTTCACTTTAAAGTAAAGGAGTAAGAGAAGTAGCCAACTGTCGCAAGGCCGTGCCTCTCCTTTTTTTTAAAGGAGCAGCAAAATGCAAAATGCAAAAGAAAAAAACAGCCAATAGTAGCTATCCATCAGGCCTTAAATGAGCAACAGCAACCCCCCCCCCCAATGCCCCAGACACCTATCATTACCTTGGAAAGCAAACAAGCTACACCCTCTCTGAGGCAGAGCATCTTTACTACTACAGTGTGGTAATGATAGTTCAATGTCCTCCATGGAGTGAAGCATTGCCATTGCCTAAGTCAGTAGTGGCGAACCTATGGCATGCGTGCCAGAAGCGGCACTCAGAGCCCTCTGTGGGCACGTGCGCCGTCACCCCAGCCCCGCCTACCCCTACGGCCCTCTCCTCACCAGCAGCCCCCCCGGAGGAAAGTCGCCCCCGGTTGTGGCCCATGCAGAGCAGCGCAGCCAAGGACATGGCAGCCGGTACAAGACTCCGCCCCCCCGCAGCATCATCTGCTGCGTGGCCGCCATGGTGCTGCAGGGCCGCCTGGGCGATCTGCCGCGGTAGGTGGCCCTGTGGGGGGCGTGGGTGGGACAGGAGGCGGGGTGGAGTAGGCGGGGCAAGGGGCAGAACAGAGTGGGCAGGGCGGGGGCGGAGTGGGTTTTGGGCACGCGGTGTCTAAAAGGTTCGCCATCACTGGCCTAAGTAGAGAACCTTTGCTGACTGTGTTTTCTTTCGTGAGTAGTGGCAGAAGAGTTTCCTGCACTTCAGGTATGCTCTAGGAAGCATTGGCAGGTAAGTGACTGCTGCGGGCAGAGACAAGGGAATGTGGGCTGGCAAGCGCCGAAGGGACAGCAGCAGGTCATAAATGAAAACAGGGCCAATTTTTTATTATATGACCCAGAGTCGTAAGTTTAAGCAATGGTCTCAAAGTCCATTTTTTTCAGTACTGTCATAGCTTTGAAAGGTCACTGAACAAATGGACATTAAACAAGGACTACCTGTATCTTGTATATATATATTCGCATATAAGCCCATCTGTAGATAAAATGTGAGTCAGCTTATCTGCAGGTGGCACATTTTTCATGGCATTTTGATTAAAAATGTGAGAATGAGCTTATATGTGAAAATATATGGTACTTACTTTTTCATATGACTGTATTGGACTTTAATAAAAGTCTTGGTTTCTGATAGGGTATTAATCTGTTTGCAATAGCAATTCAAAATACACTGCACCAAAGGATAAAAGTTACTTACATTAGCATACAATTGACAAAACTTTTTAAATGTTAGATTAAGAACTATGTTTAGCATGACTGATTGCTTAATTCAAATTGCACTGGGAAATGTATCATCTGTATCTAATATAACAAAAATGTCACTTTGCAGGGGATATGGATGGCATAAAATTTTACAAATCGGTGGCATAAATATTAAATAAGCATAAATGAATATAAATAAATAAACAAGCAAATTGAGGGGTTTCCTCCCAAATATGAGAGAATGATTTCATATATTTTCTGGACAGGAAAATTCTATTGCAAAGTAAAAAATATGTGACTAACATAAATCTGTGATAAAAAATATAGCAGTATGTCCTACGTTAGATACATACAATAAACCTCTTGATGCCACAATGATTTTTATTCCAACCCTTACATATTATATAGTTTAATTGGTACAAGAACACTATGCATGGAATAAAAAAACATGCAAAGAAAAAAATAGCATAATTCTTGTATTTCTGATTTAATTTTAGTAGATTTTAAATTGATACTGTAATAATTTAGGAAAATACTTAAATTTGAATGTTTAAAATCACAATTAAGCAAAACGGATGAGTATAATGTGAATCCAGAATGTACAGTTTATGACTCTGGATTCACATATATTTATCCATTTTGCTTAACCATGATTTAAAAAAAAAAGTTTAAGCCTAAACAAATACACTAAGTTCTAATGTTGAAATGTAACAGCTGAATTTCCTACAACATAGTGAGTCCAAAATGACCCCTATGTTTTTTTTGTTTCAGCCAAGTGATATAACTGAATATGCCTGGGCCATTGCACTTTTTTTTAAAAACAAAAGAAAAAAAAGATTCCTAAGCCTAGCATAAGTGAACATGCTAGCAGCTACAGTTAAAAGAAATGTTGTAAAAGACTCCCTTGGAGGCAGGGAGCTGCAATAATACAGGATCCTAATAAAATCATGCCAACAAGCCACAAAATATTAATACGGGAGCATCCTCAAGCAGCTCTGCAAAGAACGTAATTGCAGGTGGGGAAGTTTGTGTAAGCTTTGCTGTATTAAGGGAGAGTCTTCTCAGCAACTGAACAACATTTACTTGTTTAGATTCACAACACTTTTAAGTAAGAAAGCTTCTGGAAGAGTCCCGAGAAGATCCCTGCTATCGTTGGGTTTGGCTTGGGCAGCTTATACAGCATCTGTGACATCTCACTTGTCTCTTCATAAGCAATTTAAAATTCAACTTGTTTGCAAATGTCAATTCCCCCCCATCAATATTAAGCTAGGCTTTTTTTGCAGGTTACAATTTATCTGATATTCTATATAAGCGTTTCTATGTTTATCACTGTAAACATCTGTGATAATTCAGAACTGAATTTGTCTCATTCCTATCCTATACAGCCCTTGTCCTTTTTTCCTCTGTAAAGGTTAGATTTTTTTCCTCCAATACACCCTCTAAAATTAATTAAATTCAATTAGTATATCCATAATTTAGTGTGTAAATTGAGCCTTATTCAAATTATGCCTCTTTCAATGTCTATTCTGTAAAGTTCGAGTACCATATTAAAAGCCTGCCTTCATTAATTTATACACTAATACTATCGGCCATCCTCTCAATTCTTCCTGAAAGAAATTTGGTTTAACATATAATCCCAGATGTGAATGGCTGGAGTTATTTTTTTCCTCTCTCTAATTGTTCACGTAACAGTGCTAATTAGAGGTATATGGTCATTTAAATACAGCTCTAAATCCACAGCACAAATGCTGACTCTCATAACTTTTGTTCTTGAGAAAAAAAAGTTACATATTAGCAATTGTAATTATTAGGTAAACACGCACAAATTTAAAGTGTTTTGTAAGAATGCAAGATGATAAGTTGTTTTGACAGCTCCAATTTCTGTAGGTCATGTTGTTTGAAGCAAAGGAAATGAAATGTTTCCACAGCAGGCAAAGCACCATTGGAAACCATAAACAAGCCATATCATTTGGAAGAAGGAACCTGCCTTAATTTCAGGAAGTTAAGATTCAAGACATTCAGGAAAGGGCTGTGGTGATCGCAGGTTAGTAAGGCTAGAATACTTGCCTTAGAAAACTCTAGTTTTATCTATAATCCCAGGAATGCCAGAGTCATGTCATTTTTATCAGCTCTAATCTGTAAGGCGTTAAGGAATTCAGACAGCGGCATGAATAGCAGCAGATGAATAACAGAAGACTGCTGCCATTATTGTACTCAATGCTCCAACGACTGCAAAAGAGCAATGGGAATAAGTCATGGACTACTCGGGTTTATCTTCACTTTTAGAAAGGTCCCTTGGGGATGGACAATTAGGTGCTTTGTGACCTATATCACACACTACACTAAGCCTTGGTTTGCTTACTCATAGAATCTGAGCATATCACAATTGGCTAAATTAAATTTACAAACATACTAAGAAAGCCTCGGAGTCTTTTTTTGCTGCTCAATTTAAGGATGAAATTGAAACAGTTACGCACTTAACACTCGTTCAAAGTTACATGAAGAGCGCCCCCTAGTGTTTACGAGCAAGTCCCAAAATTACGACTATTCCAGCACAACACGGCAGTCGTGTTGTGGCACTGCAACCCTAACCCTAACCCCCACACTCCTCACAACTGCTTCCCCCTCCCTTCTTGCCACGCCAGATTCACTTGCCTTGCAAATATCCTCTCTGCTGCGGTTTCTTTCCTTTTGAGGGAAAAGAGAGTCGGCTTGGAAATGTTTTTCACGCCCAGAATGGAAGTTTCTGGAGTCCGTGATCTCACACGAGTGTTTGAAGTTGCGCCAAATCACGGACCTCAGAAACTTTCTCTATGCGAAAGGTTCCTGTCTCCTGTGCTCCTGCCCCCAACTCCTTTCTGCCTGAGGGCAGACCTGAAGCCTTCAACTGAGGGAGAAAGCCAGGCCCCTTGCACCCGCATCCAGCCTGCCGGAGCTCGCCCCACTGGGGAGAAAATGATCCCGTTGTCCCCGGAGCCTCAGAGGCCTCCAAGTGGCCTGGAACGGAGGCTGGGGGATGCTTCTGCACATCTCCGGAGGTTGAATCCATCCCTCGGAGGGGCCCTCCCAGCCGTTTGCACCCAGAAAGGAGCTTCCAGAGGTTGGATCCAGGCCTCAGAGGGATCTTCCAAGCCGTTTGTGCCAGGAACGGAGATGGGGAGGGGGCATCTGCATGTCTCCAGAAGTTGGATCCAGCCCTCGGAGGACTGCTCCAAGCTGCTGCTGCCCGGAATGGAGCTTCCGAGGGCTGGATCCAAACCTCGGAGGGGTCTTTCAAGCTATTTGCAACAGGAACAGAGATTGGGGGGGGGGTGTTTCTGCATACCTTCAGAGGTTGGATCCAGCCCTCGGAGGACTGCTCCAAGCTGCTGCCGTCCAGAATGGGGGCAGCGGCCGCGTGGCTCCGGAATTGGGGGCAAGAAGGTACCGCAAACAGTGCGAGAATTCAGGCACCCATTCTCTGCGGAAGAGGATCTGTACCTGAACTCGCGCGATATTACGGCACCCAAGAGCTTCTCCTATCCCTCAAAAGCAGGAACCGCAGCAGAGAGGAGACGGATCTTTTCAAAGTAAGTGAGTCCAGCATGGCAAGAAGGGAGGGGGAAGCATGAAGTATCTTAGTGCACCCTGAGATACCTCATGTGCACTAAACGAGCCGCGTGCATTTTAACAAGCAAGGGAGTGATCTCATTCGAGGTACGAGATTCACTCTACGGGTTTTCGAGTTACAAGTGGAATGTGCAGGCTCCATTACACTCGTAACTCGAGGACTACCTGTATTCAATTGTTTGCCTCTTTCCGAAGATATTTCTTTCTAGATGGAGATAATTCCATCTACCGCTGAAAGAAGCTAAACTACTGCAAAGCTGTTTGTGATCTGATCAGCATTAGAATCTGGCTGCTTCTATCAATAGCCCTGTTTGAAGCCATAGACAATTCTGGTTCATGGTTCTTTTTCAAGCGATGGTAACTTGCTCAGCAGGTTGTTACTAGTCTCCACTAGCAAAAATTGCTATCAGACAATTTGTGTAAATGTGTATTCTTCATAATAAACAGAACTCTGAAGAACTGAAAATATTGTTAGTATGTTATGGGAAAAGCATGGTTTCATTGAGCAGATGTTCCCTTTAGCATTTAAAGTAATTTAATCTGAAGGAAAGCAGACATCTGAACTGCAATTTCAGGAAACCTGGAAGTTTAATTATGCAACTTAGTTGCCTAGGTCCATACAGTATTTCCCACTATCTTCCCCACCTTAATGTGCAAATTCTGCAGATTATTTATCAGAAGCGACTTCCTAGGAATAGGCAGCTGCAGCTCAATAAATTGTGCTATCTTGGGGACTTGAGTGGCCAGAGAATATTCCACTGGTATTCTCAATAATCACAAATTACTTACATTTTTACAAATGTTGCATTTTACACTGACTACAGCGACTGCTGCTACTTTATAGGAACTGCTTGGCAACTTCTGCTGACTCCTACATCACTTAGCCCACTCCCCAGTTTTGTTCTATGTGCATCAACGATGAAGGATGGTCCTAGGTTAAAATAGGTCATTATCTCTGGACTTTTGCCGATAAGAAATGAATGACAAAGATTTTGGATTTTGTTTTTAGCTAGGAGATGAGACACGGGGTAAACAGAGAATATGTTATATTTTAAGAGAGGGTGATAAGTCACTAAAATTGTTTATAGTTATGATGAAGTTACTTTTTTTCTTTTTCACACATTTTATTTATTATTTTTATATTTTATTAGTATATTAGTTTGTATTTCTATTTATAAGCTTTGATAAAATTATTTGAAAAAAATGATAAAAGATAGCCCTGATATATAATGCATATACTTTGCTATCGGGTACAAATTCAAATTGTAGAACAAACTGTATTTCCCATTCAAAATTATTATAAAAGCGTATGCTCATGCAGCTTCCCTTTCTATAATATTTTGACACCGTGACTCATTATACTCAATAACTATTGTGAATATAAAAATGGAGGCAACTCATATTTTAGGCAAATTACAGATAATTAGAAACATGTTTGAATGCATGTGAAAAGCTCAATTTGGCTGTCTAGCATCAGACAGCTGTAAGCTGCAGCAGTTAAATTCAAGTTTATCATTTTAATTTTTTCTTACAAATTTGAATTCAGAAGAGAACCATATTAATATCCCAGTCAACCACACTGGTCACTGTTTCATGCTTTCATCTTCCATGAGCATTTACCTCAACTTGATCGAAGAACAGCAGAAAGAAGTCAGAAATCCTGTGGAATGTGATTTACCACCAGGAAAAAGCAACAAAAGAGAGAGACAAAGTCATCTTCACTGTTTAAAAAGCAAATCACGTTTGAGAGAACATACTTTTTAGAATATGCTGTTAGAAAAAGGTTATCCAGCTTTTCACCTTATGCCTTTTTGAACACACATCCCCACTCACCCAGTTTATGCTAAGTAGTAAATACATAACATGCAGTAAGTACTGTTTACCTTTACAGCTGCAGTCACTGCAGCAGTAGCAGCTAAGTTTAAGCCTTGTTTACCAAAGTTCACCATTGTTTCATAACCACGTTCTTTGGCTTGCACAATGTAATCGTCAATCTCCTAGGGGGAAAAATATGTGTAGTACGGATATTAATTTAATCTGATATTGGCAACCCATAATATCATATCTTGGCACGAAGCACAAGATGGCAATGTCATTCTTCATCCCCACTACCGCTTAATGCAAATTTCTTTTCTAAAATATCAAAATAAACATTTGCTCCAAAACAGGAGGGAAGCTTACCCTTTCTTTTGAAGAAAGAAGAGGATGGAGAAACTTCCTATATATTAAACTTGCCCCTCTTGTATATGGAGACAGCAACCAAATAACAAAAGCAATCTTCAGTTCATAATACAATGGAAACCTGTAAAATGTAAGTTAGAATTCATAATGGGGTTATGTGATACAAAAGAAATAGGCACCTTCCTTCTAATTAGCCTCAGTGTCAGGGGAAGTATTTTTAGGAAATATTTTTGACATATTTCAGATATGCTTTATATACATATAAATCGTATTCTTGTAATTCCACCTTCCCTAGCATCTAGCTAAAGAGCTTTTAACAGTATCAACGACCAACAATGAACACGGTGATACATGAAAACATAAATAAATCATCATGCTTGGCAAATGCACAGATCTTACCAAGAGATCAAGAGGTCAGTTAATGTTTCAGTAAACGTATAAAGAGCAAACACAATCCAGTACATCATCCACCGCACCTGAGAACGAAGAATGCAAAACAACCTTTTTAGTTTCCATCCACACAGATTAGAAAAAGGAATAATTATATTTTAACAATTTAAAATATGTAGGTGCTATTTGTTTCTATGCATTTTACAAGAACACAAACTGTTAAGTAGCATACACTATACAAAAAAGATCTTTCAACTTTCTATGTCATCCGTCTATCAAAATAATTCAAATCAACCACCCATAGTAGGACATCTAAAGATTGCTCAGCTCTCCTCAGTCTTCTGTTCTCCAGGTTAGGTATACCTGATCCCTTTATATAATTCCCACGGGACTTGGTTTCCTGTTCCCTCATTGTTATCATCGCCCTTCTCTGAATTCACTCCAATTTGTCACTATTCTTTGTAGACTGCGGAATCCAGAACTGAACACAACATTCCAGGAGTGGGTGGACAAGATGGGGTAAGTGGGGGGGGCTGAAGAGTAGAGGGCAATTACTTTTGGTTACTGGGATTTTAGGCTCCTGTTAAGAAACCCCCAAATCAGATCTGTGTTTTTCTAGCATTTGCATCACACTGCTGGCTCATGTTCAATTTGTGGCCTACTTTTGTTGTTAATTGCGAAGTCATGCCTGACCCATTGCGACCCCATGGACAACGTTCCTCCAGGCCTTCCTGTCCTCTACCATCTTCTGGAGTCCCTTTAAGCTCACGCCTACTGCTTCAGTGACTCCATCCAGCCACCTCATTCTCTGTTGTCCCCTTCTTCTATTGCTCTCCATCTTTCCCAGCATTAGGCTCTTCTCCAGTGAGTCCTTCCTTCTCATTAGGTGGCCAAAGTACTTGAGTTTCAACTTCAGGATCTGGCCTTCTAAAGAGCAGTTGGGGTTGATCTCTTCTAGGACTAACCGGTTTGATCGCCTTGCAGTCCAGGGGACTCGCAGGAATCTTCTCCAGCAACATAGTTAAAAGGCCTCAATTCTTTTGCGCTCAGCCGTTCTTATGGTCCAACTTTCATAGCCATACATTGCAACTGGGAAAACCATGGCCTTGACTATAGTGGCCTATTACAACATGTATTTAATTTCACATGTATTGCTACCAAACTAAGTGTCCCTCATCTTCTACTTCTTTCATTATTTTTCTCCCCACATTTGTCTCTGTTAAATTCCAAATCAAATCAGCTTATTACAATCATAAGACTAGTTACCGTAAAATATCTAATAGTGGAACTGTTGTATACATCTACCGTGTTTGCCCAAAATAAGTTCCCATCTTATATTTTTGCGCCTCCAAAAGAGGCACCAGGTCTTATTTGGGCGGGATGTCTTACCCCCTTAGGACCACCGCAGCCAGGCCTCCCACATCCCAACACCTATCATTCTGCTGCCTGAGTTTTTCTGTGGCCGCTTGAGGCCGCTCGTGGCCGGACACCACATGGCGCGTCACGCCAGTGTCGCCGCAATGTGCCACATAGCATCTGGCTACAAGTGGCCGCAAGCAGCCGCAGACAAACTCACACAGCAGCGCGACAGATGTTGGGGCGTGGGAGGCCTGGTTGCAGCGGTCATAAGTGGGTACAGGGCGCATGGGGCAGCCCCAACCCCCACCTGATTTTTACGCATGTGCTCTCGCCCCAAAACTAGGGCTTATTTTGGGGATAGGGCTTATATTAAACACATGCATAAAAATCAAGCTAGGTCTTATTTTGGGGAAAACACAGTATACATACAACAGAAAAATGTTACACACACACACAGAGAGAGAGAGAGAGAGATAGAGAGAGAGAGAGAGAGAGATAGAGAGAGAGAGACTATAACATATAACTTTATTATTACTACCTTTATTATTACAACCAATAATTCAGATATAAACATAAAGCCATATAAAAACAAGGATACTTGCAATATTTGATGATAAATTTTAACAGTAGCAACACAGAACTCAGCACAGTGCTAGTAATGCCAGAGTTGGAGTCTGAATAAGAGTTTCATGTAATAAAAATCTATTAACCTTGGATAGTGACACAGAGGCGAAATTCCACATTTCTTTGTTAGAAATTATGATATAGTATTATATGTGCAATAGTTTCAATCTGCTACAAGCCAGAAAGGGAGACTTTTGTCAGTTAGAGGGTTTTAGAATATTTGCGTAGAAGTGCTGATGGTAACCCATGAAGACATATCTGAAAGAAGTCATTACTCAACCTGGGGAAGGTAAAAAGGTTGTTAGATATTTGGCCAGCATCCAAGGCCTATTTGAAATTCAGGTTCTGCTGTTGTGTGTGGGGTCTTAGTGACTTCCTGCTGTTTCTCCATTATTACCAACCTTTCAGAAAAGATGACCTTTGCATAACAAAGGGTAAAAATGAATACATCTGGGAATCTGGACTCTATAGCATCCCCGCTAGGAGAATGGTCCTCCATCAATACAAGGATACAGTGGGGAAGAACTAAGTATTTAGCCATAACTGATTATTATCCTCTATAACCACTGTTTAGACATTCCTGCCTGAAGTCCCTGAGAGTGGCATTGGCTATGTCTTCAAGTAGCAAGAATAGCTCTCAAAAAATTCATCTGCACCACTTCCATTGTCTTCCTCGTGGCCCAGATTCTCACAGGTAATCCAGGGAAGTTCAGCGCTGTTTGGGCTTCAAAGAGCAAAAGGAACTAATTGCATCCTTGGTGAAAATGAAGAGCCTAATGATAGGAGACGATTCTAAAACTGCCTGAGAGTAATAATTATGATATGCTTTCTATGATCCTTTGGTGTCAAAAATTAACTCTGAGATAGTTAAGGCTGTGAATCTGCTCAAACTTATTTAGCTTTGTCATCCGTGTTTTCTCCTTGCTCTTTTCACACAAAAACATGATTTGGGATTTTTATAGGTGAGTCTGAACCTGTTTTGTTCACTTATACCAGATGATTGATCTCTTCTGAGTCTAACCTGAGTTTGGGATACAATGGCAGCAGCATTTGCACTTGAACATCTCTAACAGCAAGACACTAGTGAAGCGGGCACAGCAGCACCTGCATTTTCTGTGTCGCATGAGAAAAGCACATCTTCCTTCCCCTGTCCTTACCACTTTCTACTTGGGGATGATTGAGAGCATCCTGTCATACGGCATCACAGTCTGGTTTGGAAACATCACTGCTTCAGACAGGAAGGCGGTGCAGAGAGTGGTGAGGATGGCCAAAAAGATCATTGGCAGTTCCCTCCCTCCCATCCAGGACATAGCACAGAAGCGTTGCTTGAGCAGGGTCCGCAAGATTATCTGGGACACTACACATCCTCTTCACAACCTGTTTTCCTTGTTACCTTCTGGGAGGAGGCTTCGTGGTATCCGAAGCAGAACATCCAGATTCAGCCAGAGTTTAATACAGCATTAAACTTGTGAACTCTCAAGCTTCCTCCTTCCGTTATATATTCAAGATGGACAGTGCTTAATATTTATTTGTTATGTATATGTAGGGGTGTGGGTCTGTACATATGTTGTACATAGTATGTTAGGTGTGTGTCATGTATGTGTTCACTTTGAGAGCGGGCAACTAAATTTTATTTAGTTATGTCCATAGTAAAAAAAATGACAATAAAGGTTATCTTATCTTATTTAACAGAAGAGTTTCCTGAATATTTCTTCTGCTCAGTGTAGGCAGGAAGAGATTCACCCCATTCTTGTCCTCTTCAAGAATAAGAACTTTTGTTCTTATGGAAAAGTTACAGGGAAAAAAAGAGAAAGAAGGTGTCTTAAGTAGGAAGGCAAATAGGAAGCCATGATTCTGCTCCACCCTCAAATTTAAGCTGGAATTTGCCTGGAGACGTGTTTCCCAGACTGTATATTGACACAAGGTAACATCTCTTCCAAGGCTCATTTTTTTCTCTTGAGCAGCATTTCTCAACTTTGGCAACTTTAAGAAGGGTGAATTTTCATGGTTGAGAAACACTGCTCTAGAGAAACAGGATAGTCGTTAACTAATGTAGAGTGTGAACTCTGAATTATCTATTTTGCATTGTGTTTTAGGCTTGGTTTTCTACTTTTCCCTATGGAAGAATCCTTTAAGATATTTTCATGATTCTTGTAGAAACTTATGTTTAGTTCCAACATTGAAGGTTTTACATGTGACTATTTAAGGTAAGAAAAGATTGCTTTTAAAAAAATGTCCTTCGTGGCTTGTGAGATCAATCCAAAGGAGAGAATTCCCTAGTGTACACTTCACTGTACAGCCCTAACAAGTGTAATTGTAGAGTTTTATTTCATTTTATGCCATTTTCTTTCTCTTATTTTCCAATACTGAAAGGCCACGGATTGCGGAGATTCGTGTGGTAGAGTTAATAGAAAGAATGTCAAGTAATGACATATCCTAGAACAGAGGTCCTCAACCTTTTGGGCACCAGGGACCGAGTCTGTGGAGAGAGGTTTTTCCGTGGACCGGAGGGGGCGTGGTTTTGTGTGCTGCCTGCATCCCATGGATGGGGCTTTGTTTGTTTCCGCAGATCGGTTGCTGGCATGCCACAGCCAGGTACTGGTCCACAGACCGGGGGTTGGGGACCCCTGTCCTAGAAGGTAAGTGATGGCAGCAGAAATTACCAAACTGTATGCTAAGAGGCATTGCTCTACAGACTCAGAGAACTTCTAGGATGGCACTTCTCAACTTTGGCTACTTTAAGATTTGTGGTTAAGCATAGCTGGTTGGGGAACTGTGGAAGTTGAAGTCCATACATCTTAAAATAGCTAAGATTGGGAAACATTATTCTCTGAGTATGAACACTGTGACAATGGATGTTCCCGCTCTGACAACTGAGGGAAATTGCAGCCATTTTTACTCTGCTTTCAGCTTGCTTTTTCTCCTGTTTAGAAATCAGATGTAGAAGGGGGGATGGGGTGAATGCTTGAGCTCAGCTAGCCATAATAATGCAGCTTCATGGGAACTCAAGGACACAAACCGATAACGTTTTGGTGGGCTGAGGAGCTGGAGAGGGAGAATGTGATTTATGACTGCTTCATGGGGGTGGGAATTGCAACTTGTT